AAGCTATAGCACCCCAAACCATAACTCCAACAGTGTGATGAACATGCCTTTCAACAAAAAACTGCGGATTCCTCCTTTCATCACGTCGCCTTCTAACCCTGGCACGACCATCGTGCATGCCTAAACAAAATCGAGACTCGTCACTAAAGACAATACTGTTCCATTCCTGATCCCAGAGTGACCGTTGTCCGCACCACTCAAGGCGATTACGTCGGTGTTCTCGAGTTAAAGGGAGGACCCAGTGTGGCCGGTATGAAAACAAGCCAAAACTTCTCATTCGTCGGTAAACACTTCGCATGCCAATAGGTCTTCTGTGTTCTGCAAACCATTCATTTGCAATGGACCTGGTAGAGGAGAAACGGTCCCTTAAGGCCAATCATCTTAGGCGGCGATCTTCACGGTCTGTTGTTCTACGGCGGCGTCCAGTGCCCCTTGCTCTTTGCGTACGGCCTTCTCGAAGCCATGCCTGACAACACCTAACCACAGTGTCTACACTTCTTTGCACTCTAACTGCAATTGCCCGAAAAGAAAGTCCAGCTTCCTGAAGTCCCACTATATGGCCCCTATCAACGAAATCGTACAGGTCTCCCTACTCTAGGCATCGTAACCGATCGTAAAGGATGTCAAGAACCAAAATCCGCTAACGTTGATTCTTTACTGCGGCTGAAATATTCATTTTAAGAGCGTTAGTGAATTAAAAAAAAGCAATATAAAAACCGGAATGTCCAACTGATAAGGCTAAAAATTTTTTCACTTGTTATTTACAGTAAGATAAATACATTCACCAACTTTTATTAAAATAAAACCATTTAAACTGGGTGTTCGGATTTATATGTCACTTAGTATACATATGATTGTCTTAAGTGTAAATTAGAACGTGTGTTGATTTTAGCAAAGCAAGATCATTGTAAACTAATTTTCCAATAAGGACGGATCGACGTTGAAATGAAATGAAACTAGCAGTGTTCGAGCGACTGAAGATATCATTTATTACTGGAAAAGCCCATGCTTGTTAGCATTTATCGAATAGAACATTGTCACATGTTCAACCAGTGACACGGACCCAAGTGGTCTAATCTTGAATCACTTTCGCGCATATTTTCGGCTGAATTTTATTTATAGCCTGGTTTATGTTGGCTTTGTGAGCACAGTGAACCGCGCCTGCAACTTATGTGGTAATGTATCCACTAAAAGTTCTTTGGAGTAGATTTGATTTTAAACCAACGGCATCATCGATCCGTATTTTTCCGCAAACAGCATTGTGGACGCCATTACCAAACTCTCCTCTTCTCTTAGCCCAGGGGTCGGCAACCTTTTGAGACGGAAGAGCCAAAAGTTACAAACTACAAAAACCAGCAATTGCATTTGAAACGAACCAGCATTCATTCCAAATGGCTCAATGTTGATCTCATTTATATTTGTGTTGAGAGGATTTACTATGAACTGGAGAGGCGCAACTTGACATCATAAGAGCCGCATGCGGCTCGCGAGCCGTAGGTTCCCGATCCCTGTCTTAGCCCGAATTGAATAATTATGAACGTGGACAGCATATGATTTCAACACGATGACGCTACGTGAATTTCGGCTTGGGATGCGTTACTTTTTCGTTCCAATCAAAAGCAATTGATAAGCAAGCGGCCTCGTTTTACGTTGTACTATGTATTTACAATGAGAATTCGGAATATAGATAGACTATTTTATGCTTTAAAACCATTATCGAAATAAAATTGCACAATTAACGAACGTCACAAATTAAATCAAGCAAATTTAGTCCACATATGTGGTATTTTTTCATTTACAAAAAAACCCCAACACATAACAAAATATACTGTGCAATTAATGATCTGCATTAAGTAACACTTTTGTTTGTAAACATATTTCTTGAGTCTGATCAATGAATTCAGACTAGGTAGAAGGAGCCAGTAAAGTATTTGTTCGTGTCCTTATTCTGTCTGTAGTCCCTAGTGAGGATCAAAGTACATTTGACATAAGTCAATTTTTTTACAGTTCTGACATTAGATTCGTAGTGTTAGTGTTATTGTTTAAAAAAGTGAGTGTTTGCAGATAATTGTGGTCTTAGACGATTTCAAGACGTACTACTTCCTGATTTATTTATTTATTTATTCATACATTCACGGGACAAGCCCAATTTTACAATTTTATTTAATTTAAATTAAGTTAACTAAATTTACTAAATATTAATAAAATAATTTTAAAATTAATGTGCACATAAATAAAATTTAACACAGTCAAAGTATTAAGAATAATGTAGGTACAATGTAATCAGAAGTAACGAATTAAAAGGTTAACTAACATTTTTTAAGGTTTGTTTCAGGGAATCATGGGATATATGAAAAATATCGCCCTGAAATTTGTTTGTATTTTTCAACATATTATTTAGGACCGAGTGTTGACCGTATAGGGTGCGATGTTGAGCAAGATTGAATGACGTCTGGCCTCTTAGGGTCCTAGGAGGAACATTAAAATATATCATGCCTAAGATTTCGGGTCTATTTATTAGTCCGGTAATAATTTTGTGACAGAAAAGGGTGTCAAAATTTTCTTGACCAAACTGTTGAGTTTTAGGTCAGATACCATATCCTTGTAATTTATGCAGCCTCTTTGGGGATGTTTATTTTAAAAGCTATATATTTAATAAATTTTCTCTGAATAGAATTCAGTTTATTAATGTGAACTTAATAGTAGAGGTTCCAGACACTAGTAGACCCTTCTAAATGAGATCTGACAAGAGAGGTATATAATAGTTTTATAGAAAAAATGTCTGTTAACTCTTTAATATTTTTCTGTATGAAACCCAACATCCTCAAAGCCAACCTGAGGAAATTCTCTATATGTTGAGCAAAAGTCAACTTATACGTATTTTCTGATACGGTTAACTATTAGGAGAACTGAATACACATACATTTATCTATATTAACATACAACCTATTATTCACAGATCAATGATAAAACTTATCTATATCACTTTGTAATCTTATCACATCATTTACATCACTAATTTCGCAACATATTTTTAAATCATCAGCATATAAAATAAAATTAGAGTATAAAAAACAATATCTTATATCATTAATATATAAATTAAAAAGCACTGGTGCAAGATGTGCTCCCTGTGTGACTCCTGCGGACGCAAAAATAGTATCAGACAAATAATCATTCACCCTGACAACTTACCTTCTATCACTTAGGAATGATTTTCACCAGTCAAGTAGAGACACCTGCATGCCAAGTTTTGAGAGTTTACTAAAAAGAATTTTGTGATTGAGCTTATCAAAATCTTTTGAAAAATAAAAAATATTGGACAAATATATGGAAGTTTCCAGTAATCTGGAAATGTTCCACTGCTGATAGAGTTACACATTTTGCACAGAGCAGCACAAGCCTAATAAAGATAGATGTTTTCATCGGTAATTATTATTAGTATGTTGATGCAACGCTCTCATAACAAACAATACAATGTAAACATATAGGCTTGGCTTATTCTAATCGATTCGAGTTTGTTCTGGTGGTCACTCGTACACTATTAACTTGCTTGTCCTTGTCACACATCTTGTATCAACTATAGCCTCCCTGGAAGGTTTTCGTGATTGATACTCCAACTTACTGAATCACTTGAAAACCACACAAACGCGGTGAAGTACTTTCATCGGAGTATCAAATATGTTTTGATGATAAGATCAGCTGAAGTGCACAATGCCATCAAAGACATCAGGCAAGTGGTTGGTAATTCCATACCGACTAGCGGCGCCAGTAGCAGCAAACATTGAGCAACTGGTCGGGTTGCCATCGCTTTGGTGGAATACATGTGCCGAGTCGGGTTGCTTTTGCCATTTGGTGATAATGGTCCCTTATAATTTGTCTTGTTGGGATTTTTTGAAGTCGCAGTACGATTCCAATAAGCCACAATCTATCAATGCTCCCATAGTCAACTAATCACTTAACTGTATGTATGCGTCAGAGTAATTGAACATTGGATATTTCGGATATACGCCAGTGTGCGAAGCGGGTCATTTGAACGACGAGATGACGGCATGCATGGGAAATTCCAATAAACAAGAATGTCTTTTATTAAACATATCTTTTTTATTTCCTTTCAACATCTACCCATCTTTGGAAAACCTTTTGAGGTAGTTACAATAGAGCAATTAGCAGTAATGTCATTCCTCGAGTTGGTGACAGTGCCACCTATATGTAGTTTGCTAATTCCGGACGCAAACACATTGAAATATTTTGTCTTGAAAGCAGTTGTACGTCGGTAAAGTAATGTATCCATACATTTCGTGGCATCTCTGAAATGATAACCCGTCATTGGCTACTCGTCAATCAATGGAACATTTAAGCCTTGTTCGTACAACCTGTGAGTTACCGTGTCCACAATCCCGCCACACAAATTCCGGTCATTCTGCTACGCTATATACGGAATTCATGCGGCCGGATGCCAGACACAGTTACCAACAAGTCACCGACCATTGTACGAACAAACCTTTAGTTTTCAACATGCTACCAGCTTTGGTGTACGATGCAAAAGTTCTATAAACACCGGTTGAATAGGAGCTAAGCTGTTCTATTCCTATTCAGCCTGTATTTAGCTTATATAACTTTTACACAGTATGTGATTCGCTGACTGACGAGTTGCCTGTGAGGTCGACACTTATCCGTTCATTTCAGCGATGCCGGGAAGCATATGGATTTCGTGCTTTACCAACATAGGGGTTATGAGGGTAGTGCAACCTGTCGCGCACTACATGAGATTATATCCATTTGTTTGTTTTCCGTATCTGTCTCCAAGACTAAACATATGCCGTACCGATAACTGCTAACAAGTATGAAAGAACATTGTATGCGGTTGGACATAGTCACAGAAATTTGAAATCAAACAGATCCTATCCAGCGCGAATGACATTCCTGTCAGAAAACAGCGTTACTTTCCAAACGTGTGAAATACATAGTTTGTCATTATTGCCATAATTTTCTTATAGAAAGTGGACGCAAAGAAACTTGAAAAGGCAGAGGCAAAATTGCAAGGAAAACAGGATCGGCGAACGAAGGAAACAAAAACTGTAGCCGCGCCTAAACTTGAAACGGCGTCTGCATCTCAGGTGACAAGTAAAAAAGAAAGCAAACTTGAGGCAAAGGGTAATAATAGGACACAAGATATTAGGATAGAAAATTTCGATGTTGCTTATGGAGATAGGTACGGCTTAAAGCCAATATTCACTATATTCGTTATAATTTCCACGGTAGAAATCTAAACAATCAGCCTATGGTTTTCACCCATATGTTTTTAACTATTGCCTTCACTTATTTCGTCGCTCATGAACAATATGACTGTAATAATAATAAAGATGAATCCACTCGAGAACATGATCACAAATTTGTTACATCATGCAATTCTTATCATCCGATCGATAATTTACATATTGTAGTTCATGAACGTTTTCGAATGAGCGGTCCTCGTTTTTTCAAGTCCCACGAAATTTAATGATTTTTTAATAAAAATTAACTATGAAAAAGTTTGTCATGTACAAGGTTATTTCCAAGCGGAGCCAATATATTTATATTGCGTGAGAAATTACTAGGAGATCCACGTTGAATTTGAGTTCAGCTTTGCGAAAAGCACTCTATATATGGGTCATTATCATAAAACGTGATTAAATCGATTTAATTATCTGTAGCAATTTCGTGGAAAAGCACCATAAGACATATTTGATAATGCATAGGGCCAAACACTTTACCTATTGTTTTTTCAAATTGTAAGGATTTAGAAAAAATATAAATCACGGAGGTGATAACTTTTCACGGATGTGAGAAATACTTCATATAGTTGCGATTTCTTGTTAAATTAGTTTATATTTTTCGTTTTTAATATTGAAAAAAAAACATAAACGTAAAAAACCTTTATTAGTAGTCAACCTTAAACTTACGCAGTTCAACTCAATTCATAACTTCAATAATAAACTGTTAGACTTGATACTCAGCAACAAAGATTTAGTCAGGGATGTGTCTCGGGCAGACCAAAAGTTTGGTTGCAGACGACGGCCACCATCCAGCCATCTCATTTGTTCATCACTGTGACCACTATAAAGCACTTTCACAATACAACTCCCGTTACCGTAACTTTAACAAAACCGACTATGATAGCATCAACGATTGTTTATCCAAAGTGGACTGGCAAAAGCTGTTTCAACACAAGTCTGTTAACGATGCCGTTCATTTATTTTATAGAAACCTCTATGAAGTAATTGACAAATTTGTGCCGTTACATAAGGTTAGAGATTATTTTAAAATGGAAACCATTAAACAATTAAAGAAAAACTCGTATCGTAGAAAGTACAAAAAGTATAATGACATAGGCTCTTATCATGAATTTTGTAGATTAAGGACCAAATCTAAGGAACTAATAAAAAAGGACTTTGATGCATATACTGCGAATCCCGAGGTAGAGATTATAACTAACACAAAAAAGTTTTGGAGATATGTTTCTAGCAAAAGGAAAAACCATTCTTCGAATCCTAATAAATTTAAGTATGGTGACAATGTGGCTATGGATGGTCCCGGAATAAGTAATGCTTTTGCTAGTGGCTACATTAAGTGAAATGATACGCCCATTTTGGATAATATGTATTACTCAAAACAATATATTTCGAGTATCAGTTGAAAGAAACCACTGATTTAATAAATTTTCTAGACGTGACTAAGTCAGCCGGACCTGACAACATACCTCCACTATTCATAAAAAATTGTGTATCTAGTATCTGTCTCCCACTACAACTGATTTTCAATTGGTCTTTAGCTATGAGTACATGTCCCAGTAAATGGAAAACTGCTCATATTATGCCCATTCTCAAAAGTGGAGATAAGTGCTCTGTTATGAATTACAGGCCAATTAGCAAGTTGTGTATCTTTTCGAAGCTTTTGGAGAAGATAATTTATGAAATAATATTAGGGACTGTTCATCGTATCATCATTGATGAACAGCATGGCTTCTTTCCTATGCGCTCAATTGAAACTAATCTACTGTCTTTTGTTGAGCACTCCTGTAAAGCTTTAGACAAAGGTTGGCAAGTTGATGTTGTCTACACCGACTTCAGCAAGGCATTTGACAAGATAGATCACTCCATATTGTTGGACAGACTCGTTGAGGTGGGTGTGGATAACTCACTGTGTCAATGGGTAGCTTCGTACATAACAAACAGACAACAAATCATCACTGTGAATGGATACGAGTCTGAACCTTCTATTGTAACATCGGGAGTTCCACACGGAAGTCACCTGGGACCGCTTTTTTCATAATATATTTAAATAATATCGATAAATATACAAGAAATTGTAAATTCCTCCTATATGCGTTGACTTGAAACTCTTTTCAAGTTCGGAGATTTGAAGACTGCATAAATATTCAAGAATATCTTAACCATCTAGTTGATTACTCAAACAACAATAGCATGTTTTTAAACTTAGATTAACGTAATTTTATGCGCCTAACTAAAAACTTGAACAATATAACATACAATATAAATTAAACAATACTGCTTTGGCACAGGTGGGTGTTGCTAAAGATTTAGGTGTCTATATCGATGATAAACTTTCTTTTAGCTATCATATTGAAAAAACCATTAATGAAGCCAAGAAGTGCTTGGGCTTCATAAAAAGAACCGGTAGAGGTTTCAAAAATCCAATTACCCTGACTTCCTTGTACTACTCCTACGTTTGCAGTAGATTATCTTTCACATCTGCCATATGGAATCCCTTTTATGCTATACACTCCAATCGTATAGAAAGAATTCAGAATAAGTTTTTGCGTACACTCACCTTCAAATGTAGCACTCCCATCACAGACAGTAACTATGATGTAAGAATGAAAAAGTTCAATATTTTATCACTATTTAATAGAAGAGTAGTTTCTGAAATTTTAGTTATCTACAATCTAGTCAATCTCTGGGACTGTAATGATTTACTTTCTTCAGTTAATGTTAATGCACCAGACAGGAATTACCGACACTATGATTTGTTTAACCTTCCATATTGTCGCACAAATCTAAGTATTAATTCTACATTGATAAGGGCACAAAGGGCATACAATCAGTTTTGTGAAGAAGACCTGTTCCGCCATAATATTGCTTGCTTTAAGCGCAAACTTAAATCAAAATTCTTGAATTAATCACATTTACTCCAACTGCTTGTTATTTGCCACATCCAATTTCATATTTTTTATTATTTTAACTATATAACTTTTACAATAGATGTTTAATTTATAAGTTTACTATATTTATAATAATTTAAATATGCATATGTTCATTCGAAATTTAATCTAGTGAGTGTGTGTAGGCTCCGGCTGTTAACACCCTGAATTTGTAATAAATAAATAAATAAATCAAGTACCTAAATAAGGAACATATTATTACCGTTAACAAAATCAAAACTTTTCATGACATATGTAAAAAAATGTTTATGTTTTATAATTCTTTAATTTTAGAAATGACACGGAAAAAACAGGTAACTATTAATAAAAACGATTCTTATAACAAAGAATACTTAATTTATGATTGTGAACGAGGACAAATCTGTATTAAAAAAATACCTGGATAATGTTCTAACTCGCTCGACTGGATAACACCAACATAATGTTTAACCAGCTTTATTGTTTTTACTTTGGAGCGAGTCATATTCTGAAAATATCGGTATATATCAATTTAGTTAACCATTACAATTTCTGACCTCTGAACTGCTCACTTCACGGAGTTGAGATTCACGGAAGTGAGAAATCTTGGTATTTTTTATTCAAAAACTGTTTGTCTAATGTCATAAACTAATAAATTGTAAAACAACTTTAGTGGGAATAAAATGTCACCTATCAACATAAAAATTAAGTATTTTTTTGCTTACTTACCAAAAATTCAAATTCACGGATGTGTGAACAACAAAGGGTCCACGTGGGTCAACAAATCTTAAATTAAAGAGAGAATACGTCTGCTCACTTTCAATCCCTAATATCGACTGAAAGAGGTAGACCGTGACTTGCTGTAACCTAACACAACACCACAAACTAAATTGTTCGCTATCTATGAACCAAAAGCTTCACAAAAAAATACTTCACGGAGGTGATATCCAGATTTCGGAACAGGGGTTAAGGAACATTCAACTAAACTTGATATACTTCGAAGTTGAGTCATTTATTTTAACAGTGAGTAGATCTGATCAAAAGAAATGTTTTTTCCTTTACCATTTTCCTGGTAAAATTAAAGTAACAAAGTTATAGCCCTTTGGAAGTTTGAGTACCGCCCTCTCTCAATAACAATATTATGTGGTCGTGTTTGGCGACAACGGATATAATCCGCCGTATCGGTTCATCGCATCGGAAACAAAAAAGCGAAAGAATTTGGAACGATGTTTTTACAAGTATCTCATTCATTTGTATACAATCAGTGTCAGTGAATGGTGGTATCTGTTGCGTGGCTCAAACGAAATAAAAAATGGCACATGTTTATGCGGATCGGTTTCCCAATCGAGTGCAACCAACCCCTCGTGCCTTTGTTAATGTAGTACAACGGGCTCGTGAATCAGGTGACTTAAGACCTCAGAGGGGACCTCACGATCAAATACAGGTCCGCACTGAAATACTTGTCGGGAGGATACTTTATAAAACAAGGTAAAAAATTTTTTTTATTTTTTTTTTATTTTTACACACATATTTTGGTTTATCTTCCTTCTACAATCATTATCTGAAAAATAATGACTCAACTTCAAAGTCACCCTGTATATGATTTTTTAACACGCTTTTATAAGCTTGGCCTGTAAATATTAACTTATTATTAATATTAACTTCGCACACGTATCAAGGACCGATGACAATGCAATAATTTGATTATTATCCTTATTAGGACCGCCAGGATTGATTAATTCTTTTATAGATCCTCTTTATGGGAGTAAGAGAGATAGAGCTAACGCGCGATCTGTGAATGCGTGCAGTTTAAACTATTATTTATTAAAAGAAACATCTACTGATATATCTCTTAAAAAAGCAAACTCTGTACATCTAAGATAAAACTTCAGTAATTTTTAGCTTTAGTAATAGATTTTATCCAGCATTAAGATGGCGATGGTAAAAAATAACAGTCACAACACCAGGATTTGTTATTTCTTAGATCATATTTTTGAGCGAGTGTATAAGATTTTCACTTTTTATGATAATCACCCACGGTAATACAATACAAAATCGTTTACCAAGGTAAAGTTGCGCATTTAGGTAACTAATAAAATGTTACTTAGATGGTTTAGCAATTCATTGTATTTTCAGAGAGACAGAAAATACGATTTTACCCCGAACCGTTTTCATTGTCTTCTGGCTTAATTTGGGCTGGGATTTAAATATAAATTTCACTAACAGTGGCACTTTTTACAAGCCTTGTACAAGTAACTGATAGTATGTTAGTTCGTTAGTATGCAAATCCTGAAACTGCATTTTGAACCAGTTAACCTTAAGCTGAAATTTTGTCTGCCTGTCTGGTTCATATGGCAATGCATAATGAGCGCTCGCCATTTTGAATCTAATATATAATGGCGATTTATCATTTCCATAGTATGGGGTAGTCCAAAACGGACGCAGGAAAGTAAACGCATATTAAAACAAGAAAGATTGATATTCAAAACAAGTTGGGTACTTTATTTTGAAGGTTCATTTATACCATTTATGTATGAAAAATAATATCGCTCAAATGTTCACCACGACTGGATTTACAGACGTCCACGCGATGGTCGAAATTTTCAATGACATTTTGCAACATGGTCGGTTCTATGGCATTTATCTCGGCAATGATGTTGTTTTTGAGTTCTTGGAGGGTGGCTGGTTTGTTGACGTAGACTTTGCTTTTCAAATATCCCCATAAAAAGAAGTCCAATGGAGTCAAATCGCACGATCTTGGTGGCCATGGCACATTTCCTCTGCGCGAAATCACGCGATCACCGAAGAAGAACTGCAATCGATGGATATTGACGTTGGTTGTGTGGCATGTTGCACCGTCTTGTTGGAAATAAACATCGTCCATATCCATTCCTTCAAGTTGCGGCAAAAAATAGTCCTCTATCATCACGTGATATCGCTCAGAATTGACGGTAACGGCGTCCCCGGCCGCATTTTCGAAAAAGTAAGGTCCGATGATGCCTTTTGACCACAATGCACACCACACAGTCACTTTTTGAGGATGCATCGGCTGCTCTTGATACTCACGGGAATTTTCGTTCGCCCAGATGCGGCAGTTTTGCTTGTTTACCGTCCCATTGAAAGTGAAATGCGCTTCGTCGCTGAACATGATTTTTGATGAAAAATTGGCATCAATTTGGCGGTGTTCAAGGAGCCAATTTCGGCGCGAAAAATGGTCGGCCCGACGCAGGTCTTGCGTCAATTGGATCTTGTAGGCGTGTACATTCAAATCCTTGTGGAGAACGCGGAACAAACTGGTTCTCGAAATGCCCAATTCTTGGGATCGACGCGTTGTTGATTGTTTCGGATCGTCTCTCACACTCCTTCACAACAGCAATATTTTCCGTTGTGCGAACGCTCCTTGATCAGCCAGAGCCTGGCAGATTTGCCACAGAACCTGTTGCCTCGAATTTACGCACCAGACGACCGATGGTTGTTTCGTTTGGGCGGTTGTTGCGACCGAAATGTTCACGAAGCGCGCGAAACGTGTTTTTTATTTTTGCACCATTTTTGTAGTGCTCTTGAATAACTTTAATGCGGTCTTCAATAAAATACGACTCCATAGCGATCAATGGTAAACATTCAACTAACAAAATGACATGTCGGTGACAGAAAACAAAGATGGCGTCTATGTCAAATTGACGTTTACTTTCCTGCGTCCCTATTGGACAACCCTTTATATGATATGGGTATCAAATGAAAGAGCTTGATGAGAGAAACACAATAAGCACACTTACGTCATTCTAAAACCAATATGACGTAGGCCGCAATTTGGCGATTTATAATTTCCATAGTCATCCCTATAATATGAGCATCAAATGAAAGGGGTTGAGAGGAACACAATAACCAAAGTTTCATTTCAAATCAAATACGTCGACCCCCGCAAGATGGCGTTTTTAATATCTAAAGATACCCCTAGGATATAGTTATCGACTGAAAGGGCTTGATGAGAGATATACAGGGTGTTAATAAAGTATGTAGACAAACTTTAACCATCGAATCCTTGGTCAATTTGAAGACTAAATGTTTCTATGAACATGGGTCCGTAACGGGTTTCTTTTCGAGCTAGAGCACTATCACTAAAGAAATATGAGTAAAGTTCCAAATATTTCTATGAATAATGAAACGTATTTATTGAACAGCTGTTATAACCTATAATAAATTTTGCATGTTTTACAAGTTGCTGAGGCTCAATATGAATGTGGATGAAAATAGTATTATCCTGTATTTTACAAAAAAAAATTATTTAGAAGGTCAATAGTTAAATATTAAAAGTATTACGATCAAAAAAAATACTGGATAACATTATCCGTATCTACGTACATGGAGGGTCTGAAAACTACTGTAAATCATGTGATATTCACCACAGGACATGCTTAATTAAAATAAAATGCGTTCCATTATTTTATAATTTTTTAGAACATCATCATTTCTTTTAGTGCTAATGTGCTCTAGCTTGAAAACAAAGCCGTTGCGGACCCATGTTCATATGGAAATTTCGTCTTCAAATGGACCAAGGATTCGATGACTAAAGTTTGTCTACATACTTTATTAACAGGAAACATCTTGACGTTACTTTAGAGCCGATATGGTGACAGCCGCAAAATATCGATTTATAAGTTCCATAGTCACCCCCATTTTATCTATATCAAATGAAAGGGATTGATGAAAGAAAATAAGCAAAGTGACGTCTTTCTATTCCAATATGGCAGACATTTTATATGACAATTGACAATGCAATATTATTATGATATGGAGATGATCTGATGATGGAGCCAGGAAGTTGCCAAATTTCAACTTTTCAACATTAGTCCGCTAAAATTTAGGTTCAATCAATTGAGCAAGAATACCTTAATAGATATAAGTACGTTTACCGCATTTACATGATTTTGTTTTTTTTTATTTTTCTTTTAAGCATCGTATTCATTAGGCAATACGCATACATATGAATAATTATTTCTGCTTACGTCAATAAGAGAGTAACAAAGACTATATAAGTTATTCTCGTTTTTTTCACACACTCTTATTTATATAGTCCGTTTAAATTTGGCATTGTGATATTTAATTTCTCAGAAAATTAACTCACTTTTGTATGTATAAATTCACAATTTCAAACTATTTAATCACTTTTTTGAAAATCTTAAATTCCTCATCTGTCAAATACCATAAATGTTGGCAGAACTTTCGTAAAGCTGCTTTTGAAGTGGTTTTATCAATTCTTTCGTAAGCCTTCATTGCCTTTAAAAAGCATAAATCCTGGTTAGGTGCTTTTACCGCTAACGTGCATTGCAACTACGATTTCACGTATGTTGTCACGATGAACAGGCAGATATCTAATAGAGCTGCCTTATCCTTATTAGAAATTTTGAGCTGGGAAATTTTAATGCTCTGGTTTGAGTTTGATGCATGGCGCCTGGCAGTCGAATCTTATATTTTTTCTCTGTATCTCTGCCCAGGAATATTAGTGAAAGTTCTATTAATCCTCGATGGTCGTCTCTAGCAACTCCTTTGGACAATTCACGTCGGTAAAATTGTAGCAGCTTGTTAATCTCTGAAATATTCAGGGATGATAGCTTTTAAATCTACCTCGGAATCCGAAGGTGAAATTTTCTTGCACTTGAGTTAAGAACTATGTATGTAATGTACAATTTATTTTGAATTTCCACTACGAATAAAGTCAGGAAAAAATCAAAACGATTTTGGCCAAATTCTGCTTTTTCCGTCTCTCCGGAAGTACTTTTAATTTCTAAGCGGCGTTTTGTTAATCACCTAAATACGGAACTTTGCCCCCATTTAAACGACTTCATATCTCTTACTGTTTCCGAGATCCTAATAGTGAGGGTCGAATTTGAAATATATAGTTCGCTAGTCAAAGCTAAGTATCGTCGGGCGCGCTTAGAATTTGAAAGGATGACCGCTCGGGAACACCGAATGACGTTGGTTTTTTTGATATTGTTATTGTCATGATTGGAAAGTTTTAACAAAATTTTCTTACTACCCTTGAATAAGCGAGGAAATTATTGATATTGCAAATATCTTTGAATTTGGAGATACTGTTTTTTCATACTGTTCTGACTGCTCGATAGTGCCGTAATCCTTGGAGTTTCTAACTCCGAAAGTTCACTCAGATTTTGACGAAAATTTGGTAATTTTTATACAAGGACGAAAAAGCTTGGTTATAATCCATCAGTCTGTTCGAAGAAGCTTTAAAGAAATGACTGAGAAAAAGTGAGAAGTACTGAGTCAATCGATTTGACTTCATTTTTTAATATTAATACAGGGTGTTGCTGTTGGGTGCAGACCTAACACTTGCTTATGGCCGTCGTTACGGATTAGTAGGCAGGAACGGCCTTGGTAAAAGTACATTATTGAGGATGATCTCTGGTGGACAGTTGAGGATACCATCCCATATTTCTATTCTCCATGTTGAACAAGAAGTAAGCAGTTGTTCATTCACAGGAGTTCTGTTTTTAGTTTTATAATATTTTCTAGGTAGTTGGAGATGATACCTTGGCTATAGATAGTGTTTTGCAGTGCGATACTGTTAGAGAAGAATTACTTAAAAAGGAAAGGGATATTAGTGCAGCTATCAATGCAGGGTATGGCAAATTTGATTTACAGTAGGATATAGTCTGATTCAAAAAACAATGTCAATACTTCTAGAGCAGAAAGTACGTCTAGTAATTAAAAAGTGCTATTAAAATGTGTCAGTACTAAAATATAGAACGTTGAAAATTTTTACGCCACCAACGACAGTGAAATAATGTTGCAAGGTGGCTTTAGTCCACTGATACATTCCATACTATTTTGAATTTCAAACTTAACTACCTTCATAGTAGAAGTTTTTTGTACAGAATTTGTGCTAAATATTCAAACCAATTTTTCTCTTAAAGGAATGGTCTCAACATTTCTTGAGTAAGATTCATGTTAAACTAAATCGAGGATGGTCAATATATAACAAGCTGGTGTTTCCACAATATCCTGAAATGAAATTTTGAAGTTTTTTTCTTCAATTTCTTTTTCACGTTTTCGGTGCTGTTTGCGTAAATTAGCTTTGCTATCTCGAACGCAGTTGTTTCTGAAAAGGGAAGTCCCAGCTTTCAGGACACCCTGTCTATATTTTATGCTATAATTATTGTAATTATTACGTGTTCCAGATCACAAGATCACGCGTTAAATTCAGAGCTATCGGAAGTATACGCGCAACTGCAAAATATAGAAGCTGATAAAGCACCAGCCAAGGCATCCATCATACTGAATGGCTTAGGATTCACACCTGAAATGCAACAGAACCCCACTAAGACATTCTCTGGTGGCTGGAGAATGAGATTAGCTCTGGCAAGAGCTCTATTTTCGAGGTAATAATTATGCTAGTTAATCATATAATTTGCAGTTTTTCTCTGAATGCTATAGGATCACTTAAAAAATTTCAGCATCGAATAGCTAGGTGAACCGAAAAAAACTGTCCATTCCGATACTAATAATTTTCAACAGGTTATTTTATTTAACGGTTACGTTGCCCACTCTTTCTACCACAGAATGTATACATGCTGGTCTTGCAAATGAACTATGTATAACGAAAATGATTCATGTAAGAATTTTGAGAGACGCGTTAATATATAAATGGCTACTGATGAGATCATTTCACTGAATCTTGCACGACAAGAAAGAAATGCTACGAAAGCGTGTAGAAATTCATGAAGTCTTAAGTGAGTGTGCAGTTTTGAATAGAACATGCTTCAAAAACAAAATTCTTTTTGTCGACATCAGGGAGTCTCGATCCATTTGAACAAATTGAACACGTTTTCGAGATGGGTGCCAAATGAATTAAGTGAGTGGAACTTGAATAGGTTCATGGCATACACATCTCTGCTTGCACGCAACAGAATCGAACCTTTCTTGAATGATCTAATGACAGGGATGAAAAGCGGATCACGTATGAAAATGTGGTAATGAAAAGAGCATATTGTAAACTGTGAAAATCTGCTTCCTTTGCCTTTGAGCAGAATTTGATCTTCACCAGGAAAATACTGTGTATATGGTGGAACATTCGAGGACCAATATATGAGCTGTTTAAACCCAATGAAATGCTAATTTTGTAAAGGCATTGTCAACAATTAAATAAATTTGAGTCAGCACTGTAAGAAAAAGAGAACGGCAATGTTGAGTAAAAGGAATATGTTACTGCATGATAATACCAGACCGCGTACTGCTTTGGAGAATCTAAAAAAATTGCACAACTAGACCTAGCACCTTCGGACTAATACCAGTTTTTATCGTGACAAGATTTTCTGTAGGGTACAAAATTCAAAAATGAAGACGATATCCAACAAGCGCTAAATTAATTTTTATCAGTTAGAGATGGCGTTATAAAAAATTTAATATACAGATTTTCACTTTGAAAAGAGCTCGTAAATAATGATGAATATTATTTTATTCATAAATCCAACGTATGAAAAAAATCATTTTCTAACTTAAGGACAGGTCTTTCCGGAAGACTTAATAGTTTAGCTTCTTTCAAAAATTACCATCAGGGTGGTAATCCGGAGACATTATCCTGGAGTTAAATAAAATCTAGTTTGCGCTGAACATCGAATGTTCAGTCTATCATTGTATATGAATCTCAAATGATTGATTCCTTGAGGTGTTCCATTATCATAGACGAAATCATACAAACAGCGCAAATTGCAAGTAGAAGTTTATATAATCTATTCCATTCAACTTATATGATTCAATACTTAGGCCTGACTTGCTGTTACTTGACGAACCGACAAATATGTTGGACATAAAAGCTATCATCTGGTTGGAGAACTATCTTCAAAATTGGCCAACCACGTTACTAGTAGTGTCTCACGATCGGAATTTCCTGGATACTGTTCCTACGGATATACTTCATCTGCACTCACAAAGAATAGAGCCATATAGGTAAGTGTTCAGTTAGACGAAAAATTTGATATGGAATTGGAATTAACAGTCTATTTTAACTTTATTTAAATATCAAAATTGAATTTGAAACTACAGTCCGGAAAATCCCGGGCCTCCTGGTTCCTTTGGCAGCTAGCACCAAAATTCCTGGTTATCTGTAAGACCACCGGCTCTTCATTTCTACTGAGAAAAATAGCTAAGTCTGTTATCAAACTTTGATGTAAACGGTATTTGATCCGTGGGTATATCGAGGTAGATAAGGTGTTCTGAGAGACCGGACTATAGCATTCTTTTTTGTTTGATTGTAGGGGAAATTACGAACAATTCGAAAAAACTAAAACAGAAAAGCTGAAAAACCAACAACGAGAATATGATGCTCAAATGCAGCAAAGGCAACATGTTCAAGAGTTCATTGATAGGTTCAGATATAATGCGAATAGAGCTGCTTTGGTACAGTCGAAGATTAAAATGCTAGAAAAGCTGTAAGTATAACCAATGAAAGTACTATGTTTGTATTATGTTGCAATATTGGATCTGTTGAATTGGCGGCAGCTGCGTGAAAGAAATCAGAATATCTATTTAGAACTAGGAAGTTCTTCTTCACATAACCTTACTTTGTGCGAGGCCTATATAAAACACAGTCTCGAGTATTGCTCACATATTTGGGGAACTACCGTTGTGACTTCACTGTCGATGCTTGATGCTGTTCAGAGGAAGGCTGTCCGACTGATCATTTATACTTATTAGCAAAGAGTCTCAAGCCCTTCTTACGCCGACAGGCTGTCAGTGATTTGTCTCTCCTCTACGGACTGAGATTCCTACCATGAGCGTTAGGCTTTCCAGACGAACCTCCAGGACTTAACATTGTAACTATCGAATTCCATGCATCAAGATCTAGCCGGTACGATGCATCCGTTGTTCCTAAAGTGACTGATGATCAAATATCTTTCACATTTTTTTAGCAGCCGTGGTACATCGGTACTCAAGACCGTATACATCCTACAATTTGCTTGTCATGCAAATCTTACGATTTGCTTGAAGACTTGAATCGTGCCAAGTTATCAAATAAATGGCTTAAACGAGATCTGCGATCTCTCATATTGGCTTGTTGAATGAGTTAAGGTTGGTACGGATAACTAACGAAATGTAGAGCGAATGGCTGATGATTTTCACTCCATATATAGATAAATTTGTAAACCTGTAAAGTTTAAACTGTACTTGTGCCATATCGGATTAAAGTTTGGGATATATGATACCAGTGACATGGGTGATTCTGAATAAAAAAAAATATTTGAAAAAGTGCAAAATATGTCATTTCGACTCAAACAGTTCGAAGAGCCGGAAGTTATAATTTTGGCAAAATTCATAAATATTCTTCAAACATCCATTAATGAGTTCTTGAATAATTAAAGGAAAGTTATTGCTGACCTTTTTTATTTGTTAATCAAGCGCGCAAAGATTTACAATAACAACAAACCCTAAAATGCTTTGGGATTTTATTAATAGATGTTTGAAGAATATTTAATAACTTTGGCAACATTGAAGTTTTCGCTTTTTTATATTTTTCCACGGTCAAAAACTCCATATTTCTCACTTTTCAAATCTTAAATCGTTTATATCTCGAAAAATATCAACCTTAAGGGAAAGTTGATTAAAATGTTTGCTATTTGTTTTTAAGAAATAGTTTTATCAATTACTTTTTGAATTAAACTATGCAAAAAACCGAATCAGAGTATTTTTTCGAGTGGATATGCCCGGCTTGAAATGTTGATTACATATCTTTTTGAGTTTTGTTGATTTCATATTCTTCTACTATTAGTAAAATTTACCATCTACCTTCATATATTCATTTTTTAAACTGTCATACAGAGCTTTGCAATTCTCTGGCGAAAATCGCATTCTAACGGCTAGGCGTTCATGTGGTGTGATTGCCTCTTCATTTCTCTACGCATGGAGTGATAATTCTCAACAGTTTTGTTGTGTGGTTTTTCGCGAATCTGTAAGTAATTGAACTAATCTTCAGGGGTATGCGAGATCTCCGACCTTATTAAAAGCCAATTCCTTGACCACTAGCTCGACTTCGTCGTTTTTTCTTTTTTTATAATTAATCCGTAGGTGCTAATAAATTATCGTCCAACTACGATGGAATCGTATGTCTGTGGACATACTGCTTGATGACAAATCGTTGGATACCACAACCCTTACGCCTTGCATGACGACTTGATTGACAAACAAGTCGTACGATTTTCGCATTCGCGGTTAATTTAGTATAAAAAGCCTTTTGCCGTGTTAAACTATCGTGGCAAATACTTTAATAAAAGAGTTATATTGTTTTTGAATTAAATTTTTTTAAAGTGATTTCATGATATTACTTTCAGGCCCGAATTAAAGCCAATCGTGAAAGAAACAGAAGTATTATTAAAACTGCCAGATACGGAGCCCCTCTCTCCTCCTATCCTTCAATTAAATGAGGTTTCATTTCGATATTCTTCTTCAGATAGATATATATTCACAGATGTGAACTTAGGTGCTACGATGGATTCTAGGATATGTATTGTAAGTACTTTCATATGTCATTAGTTAAGCATGAAATATACCACCACAGACGGACAACCGTTTCATGCTTTTGACAGTCATCAGCAAGGTTTCGGTTAGGTTAGGTACGTGTGCGATCATATTCGGACAAAAGAATGGTGTAACAGGTCACCAGAAAAATGCCCGACGGGGCTCCGCTGCGGAAATACAGACAAGAGAGACAGAAAATGACACCGTTGGAAAGAATAAATTCGCTTAGATCGTTAAGCCAATTTTTACATTCTGTATAAAACTCAAAAATGTAATCCATAAGTTCTTGATTTCGATAAATATGTCCTATACGTCTTAACTTTTGAGAGATACAGGCTAGTAAGGGTTTTCAATAATAAATAATTTATTATTCATATTGTATGTAAATACCACTTCAGATATTTTCGGTAAATTTGGCAGAGATGTACTATGTGGATATTCGCTTGCTTTTGGTTTTTCCTTTTTAGTAGTAGTAGTGGGATAGATCCGTTTAGCTCTCTTGACTACATAATAACATATAGTATCTCATACATTTATAGCATATACAAAACAATTTTATCTGCTTATAAGTTCAAATTAAGCGCACATGGAATTAAACGTAATACAGCGATTTGATACATTTAAAAAAACAAGTGTCTCTGATAGTTTTTGAACATTTTTGACTTCTAATAGTACTAGGCAATTTATGGAAAACAGTTTTGCAACTTTTTAGATAATCATTAGAATTCAAATGAAATTTTCCTCTAATTTCGTATGGATGATGCATGCAGTTCAAGCTTGTTTATTAAGACATTTTGGTAACAATCTATTCTTAATTTTGTAAACAAAAATCATTACAAGGCATTTAATGAAATTTTTAACGCGTTTACCTTTATATAGAATTATGTGCATGCATTTTATTCTGTTGTATCTGTAACCTGTCAATTTTTGAAAAATTTGCTGAGTATAAAAATGTAGAACAATATAAGAGGCAGAGTGTTTGTATTGTAAATAAGCTTTTTAGGATAATAACATACTTGATATTCTTCTAAGGTACCCTACCATCTTGTTACATGACGTCCATTCAACCTCAGACACTCTTGTCTAGTCTCTCACTACGCCGCCATTACTTTTCACGTCTCTGTCGGTTTTGGTTTTGTGATCATACTGTTTTATTTGTCACCATGTCAATCAGTAAACCCGCCGATTGTGAAGTGCGTGAAGTTGTTTTTTAAATGCAAAAAAAGTTCGTGAAATTCACTAGTAGCTTGTTGAAGTTATTATTGAAGCCTAGACGTGCTATTCAAAACTGCCGGTGGGCCTAACTCTCTAGCGACGTCGTCCTGCTTCAAGACAACGCTCTGCTTCACGTTGCGACAAGAACAGACAAAACTGGACAAGTTTCATTGGGAATCACTGGATAATCCATCATAAATGCTTATACAATCATACTTTCATGTTTTTCCAAAACTCAAGGAATGTCTTGATAGAAATCGTTTGGAAAATGATGGCATGTTGAAAGAAACATTTACTAACTGGTTTAACGGTCGGGCGAGAGCGTTCTTTGACGACGAGATCCAAAAGCTGGTGCCACGACTTGACAAATGTTTAAATATTTATTATTTTGAAAAGTGAGAAAAATGTTGATATTTATTTACGTTCATAAATAAAGCTTCTCCGATTCCATGATAAAACCGTTCTTACTTAAATAAATGACGTCAAGTTGGTTGACTCTGCACTTCTTACGCATCGCCGTCATCATTTCATAAAGGATTTAAGTTCAGTGCAATTTAAATCCTTTGAGACAAAAAGTCAGTCACGAACATATACAACAGAGAAATTAAACGGATTAAGTTAGTCAAACAGGAACTTACGATTAGTTATACATTATTTCTCTTCCCAACCGGTACAGGCAACGTCGTCCCATTCCACATCTGCGCGGCATCGCTTGAACGAGTTATCGTTCACTTCGTGCAGGGTCCATGTATATGTCTTTCTCTGTCATCCTATTTTGAACGCAAATGTACGGGGAAAGCTATGAAGTGTGAAATATGGTTGGGACCGTATAAATATGCTAAGATTAAACATTTTTCATATACCCTGACCCACCCCCTACAACCGACCAAATTTAAACTACAAAAAAATTCTGAAATGTCAAAAAACGAAGTTTGAGTGTTTTTTTATGTTTTCTCATATCTTTCTTTTTTCTCCGCAGCCACTGGACCGATTTTCGAAAAGTACAAAGCTTTTTTGCTTGGCATAGTATCAATCTTGTTTGGAAATTTCACAAAATCTGAGCAGTACTTGTAATAGTCGGGCCAAGGATTAGCGGACAGACAGGCCGACGGAAATTAGTCACATGATCTTTGGATTGCAATAGCTCCTCGCCCAGTGGCGTAGGAGTAAAACCCCCTACAATTTCGATTACATCATTTTCCATTTTCACCTTCAGTTTTGCCTCTTTTTACCTAATATTAAACATTTAGCTTCTTTTGAATATAACTTTAATTTATTTTAATCTTAACCATTCTGTAATGAAATGCAGTTCTTTGTTCAACATTTATTGCATTCCTTCAACAGTATTTTTTGCCTTAATTTATATTAATGTGTGGACTGCGCAAAAATGTGGATCCTTATCTAAAACCTTTATTTATGCATGAAATGAATAATAAAGGTAATAAAATACTTTCCTGTTGGCCGCTTATGCCATTTACTAATTTATCTGAAAAAAAAAATTCCATGTAATTTGGGTACGATTTTTCAGGTAACCAGCTGTAAACTTTGTCACGCATTCCATGTGACAATATTTTACTTGACAATTTTGATCTATCGCCTGTTTCTTTATGTCAATAAAAACAGCAACAATAATTTAATACACTTTTCTATTACACACTTAGAGCTGTTTCATTCGAATGTTTTTGCGAAAACCTGCTTGAAATCCAGATAATTTCCCATTTTCATCTCTAGTCTAAATTACAGTTCACAGAATTTAATAAAGTATGTCCCAGTGTATGTGGAAAAAATCATTTTAATTTTTGTTATTGTCTCAGATTCATTGTGGTTAAATTTCAAGCTACCTATCTGCTTATAAGCTGATTTACTTTCAATTTTTCAAAACCTGTGAGCGTTTGTGATATAAGGCATACTTCCAGCTATTATCTCTGCTCCAGGTTTTATAGAACTGGCAGTTTTTTGACACTTTGTACAGAATAGTCGTTTAATCTTCGAACGATTATTAAAGGATCAGTTTCTAACTTATCATCAAACATAATGATTTACGAATGATCTACATCTTCACGGGGATTATTATGGTTATGTACTGTACCGTAATATCGTATTGGTGGTTCAGCTGTGTACCCTGCAGGAACAGTAGTACCGAAGTACCTGCCTGCACCAAGTGGTGATGGGTGGATTTTTAATGGTGTTCCTTTTAACCATTGCGTACCGCTTTACTGAAGTAGTGCTAATTCCGTTAACCGTAAGGTTTTTTCAGGTTCTAGATTTTTCCGAAATTTTTGACGCAATAGTTTTGAATTCAGAACTTTTGAAAGATTTTATGTCCTGATTCACTTGTTCTTTATTTTTTTGTTAAATGAATGCACTGTTTTATGTTTCCTAATCTTGAAGTCTGGATTTAGAGGCAAATGTTTACTTGCAATATTTAATTTCAACTGGGCTGTTCTGCAAGTTAAAAATAAATATGATAAGATTGTAAGGTTTTTATGAATGAAGTGTGCATAAATTAGTTTACCAACCTGTACGAAATTATTAACCTGTTTTTGCATATACGAGGAAACTTTGAAAAATTCCATTTATCCCGTTTTGACTCAGACTAATTCTATGCAATTCTGGATCATTTCGTTGGTGTTCAAATAAGGGTTGGCTGTTAAGGGCGTGTGTACCGTAATACCGTGCCACACCGACCGAATGCAATACCGCTCTGAAACAGAATTCTATAACTTGCTTTGAACACTTTTGCATTTAGGACTCAATTGGACCTCGTTATGCAATAGGGAACCAACCAGCAAAAACATCTTTCTGAGTAAACGGAGAAAAAAGATTTTGTTTGTTATTTCAAATCATGATCGTTCAAAAATAAGAAAACCGTACACTTTTTCACGGTTTTATTTACTTTCAAGTATAATAACGTAATGGTCAAAAAATGAACAAAAAATTCTCAATATTGAATGAAAAAAAAACACCTGGTTCCTTTTTGCAAAATGGCTTTTTTGAAAATGTCAGTCATCTTGTATTTGGAAATCCAGCTCTGCATTATACCCTTCTGTATCTTCCTCGATTGTATCGTCACCAATAAGGTTAACATAAAAAGGATGATCTGCCGGAGGAATGAGGTTTAAATAGCTCTTGATATACTTAAGTTTAGCTTCTGCTACAGGCTTTCCGTTGGGCCAAAGAGGTTGCAAATGCCGAGAGAATAGCATTGTTTGTGGGTTATCTTTTCCTTTTTTAATATCAATTTCTTTATAGTTATCAGTGGCGTCGTGGGTTGTTTTGATAAAGATACTAAAAGGCTTCTCTTTTAAAACCTTAATTTCTTTAATTTTTAACCAGTTGATCATTTCCTCTTCACAGCTTTTTTTCTATTAGTTATTTCCTTTTCAAGCTGCTTGGTACTAATAAAGCCTTTTTTTTCTATGCTCACCACCTCAATGGGACGCTTCTTTCTACAGGACTTCATAACCCAAATGTAGTCTTCAGGAGAAAACATATTAGTGCGTCTTTTGAGAACATATTCTACATCCCCAAAATCACTGTCATTGGACAGAAAACTGTGTTCGGATGTCAAAAATCGCAACTTAATACTTTTTAGGTGTGGAGATTCCTCAAGAGCGCATTTCAACAAAAGTACCATCTTAATATTTCTATTTTGACCTACACAGGAGTCGCTCAATAATCTAAGGTTTTAAACAGTTTTTGAGACGTTATTTGCAATATAACGCATCAAACAAGAGCCCACCTCTTGGGCACCGCGACCGGCTTGTCCTTCAAGCCACAGGTTGAAAGTTGATTTTTCTTCCTTCGCTGCATATATCCCACAGTTATAGAGCCATAGCTGTCTTTTATGAAATATAATGTTTGTACTAAGACGTGGTAACGGAAGTGTTTTCTCCATATCAAAGGTCAGTGTCTCTATTTCGTTATTCTGTGTTGCTTCTTTGATATCACTATTCATCTTAGTTCTGGCTTGTTCTGCTTCAGCCAAATGCATACTATGTTCAAAGCTGATCTTACTCTTCTCTTCTCCTGCTGGTAAGTTTTTGAGCTTTATGTCAAATGCGTCACATTCATTACAGGTATCTTTCTTGGATTTTTAAGTTTTTTCCGCATCGCTCTGTTTTGTTCCTCGTACTTCAGCTTCCTTCCTTTCTTTGGACGTCCCCTATATTCTGTAGCTGCAGCAATATTGTTGTTGCTTGGCCTCTCTGTACGCTCCGTTGATTGCAAGTTGTGATTACTGTCAACAGAGGATTCATCGGAAAATCGCGGTTCATAATCCTTGTCTTTGATAGAATCGTCGGAATCTTTTTGGATATCAGTAACTTCGGTATTCTGCGTCAAGTATTCACTAATAGCATACTTCTCGTAGCAGCGTTCCAGAGTCTGGAAATTTTTATTTTCATTATCATGGAAGTATTGGGATGATACTCTTTTGTACCCTGTGGAAAATTTAGATAAAATATTTTAGCCAAATGAAATATATTTCTTTGGTTCGTCATGAATCTATTTTACACATGACTTTGCTGGCGAGCGTTCATTACAAATTATTCCTGTCCCTGTCTCTGAAGTGAGCTGCAAACCCGGTACAGAGATGTAATTTGCAACAAGGAACCATCTGCATTTTTGATATAATCGATAAAGCATAATAATACAACTGATCATCAAATTTGTTGCAACTTACCGGAGTGCTTGGGATTTCTGACGAACCGATACCCTTTTCCGCTTTAACCCTTTCCATTATTAACATCGTTCTATTGCAATACATCCCCAAATAGAATAATATAACCTGTAGCAACTAGATACACTTTGTAGCGGTCAACTATACAACACAAATCCACAAATATGCAAAAGAGAACCAAGTACCGTTGGTTCTTCCAAAACAAAAAATGAATAACTGACACCTTGCAATAAGGTTTCAAGTATACTTGGAACTTCGTTGAAAATTGCAGTGACCTTGCTTTGAAATTTGCAATATGTTTCTTTCATCCATAGATGGCGCCAGCAGCTATTTAAAGCCTGGTTTCTTGTTGCGAAACAAGGCTAGCTGATTCATGATTTAGAAAATATAAATAGCTCATTTTAGACCAAAATGTGGTTTGGTTCCATATTGCATAACGGGGTCCAATTGTGTGACGGTACAATTGTCTTTAACCATTGCTTTTGCTTTTGACCGATTTTGATTCCTTTAAATCCCGAGAAAACTTATTGTCCTCCTACTTCACTCCATTAATAGGGTATCTAGATTCAGATAGGGATTTATCTCATTTGTGAATATAATATAATACTTGATATATCCTGCCCGTGAATGAATTGTATAAATGAGTTTTTGTTGCTTTTAATCCAAAAGCTCGTGCTACCTAAAGTAAGATTTGCAAAGTAGTAGAAGTAAGAAAAGAATAAGTATCTCGAGTCTGACCCTTTGAGCCTTAAACATGAAATCTCTGAATTCTTTTCCTGGCTGAAGCTGCCCATGATGACTTTTCCAGTCCAGTTGTCTCCACACTCTAAATAGGATTCTGGCGCCCGAGGAGTTGCTGGACTAGAAAGGTAGTAGTTTGTCAGTTAGTCACAGAGCTCTTGAAAGAAAGTCTTAACATAAGTACAGTGCAAAAGGATTCTCCAGGCAGTATATCTGGCAAATGGCACACCATAGAGAAAAAACTTATTCTTGTCTTTTTGTAGCAAATTGTCGCAGCAATAGTTTTCTGCTGATGACTTTTTCTCGTAAAATGGAACATTCACGATATATCCTAGGTGTTGGGATTTTTTAATGAGGAAAATAGTGTTTGCTGTATACAGCGAAAACCAAATTTGTCTGACAGCTTGAGTTTAATGTGTACGGGAGAGAAGCGCGATAAATGTGTATGTTATAAAGAGATAGAAGCCAGCTGGTCAGCGAAGGTCATCACCATATAGCCTAGCAACGGTGACACAAGACGTCGTGCAATCTGCCGCGTTGCCAATATGTTACACCAGTTCCTTGAATTAAGACGCATGTTAAAAATATGCGCTATGGTAATGGTTTTATTTTGAACGTACACATGTTTGTGTTGTGTTGAATCGATTTAGGATTGATTCCCGATCGGTCCTAATGACTCTCCACTAGGTCGAAATGGAAGTTCAGGTGCGCCACAAATTCTGCAACATTGCATCATTGCTTCGTTTGACAACACCGCATCTTGTTCATTCCAAGGCAAGGTTTCTATCTCCCTAGATATGCGATCTTGGCAGTATTGCCGAACATACCGATTTTTCGGTATTTGTACCGGACCAGGACCTTATTTACCAAAATGCCACAAACGTGCATATTTTCACGATATTTTGAAATAATTCGCATAGTTCCAGACATTTTACTGAAAAAGAGATAAGAACCGAAAACAAATCTAAAAAAATAAGTGTAATCTATGCAGTTTTATGGTCCACACCAGCCATATATAGTATATAAGCGTACACTTAGGCAGTCTGGCGCAGGAGGTACGTAGATTTAGGTTGCCTACAATTATTATTCCGCTTTCCCTATTTTGTTTTTTGTGCGTAAAACAGGTACAGACTGGTAGATCACCGTCATTACCGCATGACCGGACAAGCCATAACGAAACCAAAGCTCGCCTATGTTTAACTGAATGTTAAATTAAAATTTCAGGTGATGAGGCTTCAAGCTCTGGGGTAAAACAGAAAAATATTCAGAATCTTAGAAGCAAGAATTGTATCATTGGTTCGCTTCGTTAACGACTTCACAACAAACGCTGTATTTCGTATATTATTTTCGTTCATGGCTGCCTGAATGAATTGTTTTTCAATGAGGATGCATTAATGTTGATATGTAATAAAACAAGTGGTGTATTAACGAGATAAATAACAAATAATGCTTAGTATTTGGGTTTACAAACTTGACCTCCAATAACCTTTGAGGCCATTCTCTAGGTCATCATTGAGGTGATCGATAGGTTGCTTTTTAGATGTTTCTCAAAACCTTCGTTCCAAAAAATACTTGGTTCCCACGTTTTCTGGGTGTTCGTATTTCAGTCGTTACAGTAGTCCATTTTGATTGAGCCACTTATGACTGCTTGACCTCATGTATGATGTAAAATCGCGAGCTCGACATCAATCTGCTGTCAAAAATAATGGTTGCTATTTGGATTGACAAATTTGATCTCCAAATGACCTCTGAGAACAATGACTCTCGATGGAGGCATAGGGTTTCCTACTTTTAGCAAAACTGTAAGATCTCCCAACGCTGTTATACTATACGTATTTAGTCATTCCTTCAAACGCAACCGTCAGTGGAGATTTTAATAATAATAGTCTTCTTTATTTGGAAATAGACTAACTGATTGGAGAAGTTTAGCATTCGCTACTCTTACACTTAACCAAAATGATAAGATTAAGTGGGTAGTGAATTGATCAACACTTTAATTTTGTTGCGGAATGTAGACAAATAATATGACTTATACACTTCAGGTATTGAATTATACCTTGTAGCTAAATTATACGAAAAACTTCATTTAAATAATGAGTTTTACATACACTCGCGAATTGGTCAAGGGAAAACAAACATTTAAGTTTATCATTAAGGACGCAGTATCCCCAAAGAGTTGATGTTTGGGGGGGTATTTTAGGGGACCACATTGTTGGACCCTCAGCACGGAATTATCCCGACTGTACGAAGCCTGGGCATCAACCTTGATGATATTTAGTTTCAACAAGATGGCTGTTCTGCTCTCAACGCGAGGAAGGTTCGGGAATTTTGGAAACATTTTTTCCCGGATGCCTGACTCTTACACATAGCAACATACAATATCCAGCGAGATCTCCTGACTTGGCGCCTAATGATTTGGAGGGGTTGCGGCTGAAAATAATAGAATCATGCCAGCGCTGCGGTCGGAAAATGTAACAAATAACATTACGCAATACAAATAAATTATCTCTGTCTGCGAGTACGCACACACACACACACATATACACACCCCTACGAGCACTAGATGGGTACTGAGCAAAATCGCTCAACTATCATCATGGAGGTGGACACAAGATGCGGTGTTCTCATATGAACCAGTGATGTAATGTTGCAGATTTTGTGGCAATCCTGACCATTTATTTCGACCTAAAATGGAGCGCCGTTAGGACCGATTCCGAATCGCTTAAAACAGATTCGACACAAATCAAAACTGTACGCCCAAAATAAAACCATCATTTTGGCGTAAGAATAAACTACGCATATTTTCAATGTACATCTTAAGTCAAGGAACTGGTGTAACATATTTGGCGACTCAGCAGACTGCCGCGTCAGCATTGCTAAGCAACGTGAGGATGAGCTGCGCTATCCAGCCGGCTTCTACCTCTTTCTAATATATGAGCCTATACACACTTCTCTCTCGTACACATTGAACTCAAGCCGTCGGACTTATTTGGTTTTCAGTATATAATCAAACATGGAATGAGCTTTAACTTGACACCTCACACTTCAAGGTTAATGATGTTATTCGAAATGACTTTACTGTATTAGTTTTTTTTCTTCTTGCTAAATGGAAAAGTTATTATTTTTGTTATTGTTATTTTTTCTGATTTATTGTACATCTACAGTTTAATTTGTTACTACTATTGCTATTTATATTTTGTAAATGATTTGTCATTTATAGTATAAAATCGTTAATATTATTATTTTTATTGTTCTGATCAAAATTAACTCTGTTATTCTTTTTGAAATCTTAAGTAAGCCAGTCATTCACAGAGTTGACAGCATCATCTCTGGTTGAACTGTCTCAATTCACTTGCAAAACGAACGGAACATTAACTTGATATTGAGCAGGCGAAATTGTTAACAGAGACTACTGACAACTTAGATTCAGTTGCTGAGTGTTAGTGAACGCCATTAGTCTAGTCGCAGGCAGACTGAAACATTTTGTCTAGAAACAAAATGTTTCAATCTATCTGGCTACTTGCATCCCTGCAAACATGGAGGAACGTTTCTGGTTCGAAACAACTTTTCTGTGCATAATATATATTTCTTTTAATTTTAATTCAACAGTGACCACTTTCTCCCTGTCAAGTTCTTCGATTGATATGTCAGAAAATTAATATTTTCGAATGGAATAGGTTATGTTGATTGTACCGATGACAAACATATGCAAACAAAATAATTGAGCGCTCGAATGTCTTGAAACATTTTGCCCCGAGGCGTAATTCAGAGAGGGATGACGTTGAAACACAGATTGTTACATAGAAGGGGGTGCCACAAAAAGCAAATATTTCAGTGCTTGTGATTGGTAGTTGGTGACTGTTGCGTCTATCGAATTTGTTCATATGTAAAGTGCGCCAACCATTTTTCACGTAATATCCAAACTATCCTTAAATGCAGTTTATTTTATGTTGCTCAGACTGATAACTTTTATTATTTGCCATATACTTACTGTTTTATTTAGAAAACAATGGCGATATTTCTACAGCAGTAAATACATCAAAAAATAAAAAGGTTGCCATAAGGGTGTGTCCTAAAATGTCCGATTGCTAGGATACAGGATGTTGTGAATTTCAGTGATGACACTGAGTATATTCAAAACATGAGTATTGCTCAAATAATGCTATGATAAGATTCCTCTCCTAATACACTACACACAATCTTCAATGTCAAACTTCCCAACTGAAGCGTATTTTCAAAGTACAGTGGCTTGAAGTTTCTTATACAAATTTTTACTTAAATGTTATTTTTTCCAAAAGTAATATATTGACAAAACGTGTCAAGAGAGGTGATTTACGTAAAATAAAACACCTTATTCAAAAATGCTATAGATGCTTCAAAAAGGTTAGTGGCGTAGAAAATAATTTCATTTTTTCTTCCGTGGGGGTCAAAATTTCTCAATTTGTACGCCACTGGTGAGGTCTCAGACACGAACATATTTTTGAGTAGTGACTATGTGGTACTATATGTACAAAATTAACTATTTTGACATTTTCCTATTATTTTTGGATTTACTCCTAGGAATATTGCCACTGTTTTCTGAATCGCTCCATATATTTTAATGAACTGTGAACTATTTCAGGTTGGTGACAATGGTGCAGGTAAAACAACTATTTTAAAAATCATCATGGGCATTCTGTCGCCTACTTCAGGTATGCGACATGTTCATAGAAACCTAAAGTTTGGCTACTTCAGTCAACACCACGTAGATCAGTTGAATATGAACCTGAACTCTGTTGAACTTCTCCAGCAAGCACATCCTGGTAAGTTTTGCGAGAAGTAACAAGATTAGAAAAGGAAGCGTAGGAGAGGCTGATTATATAATTGCTACGTAATGAATAGCAAAATTGGCGTCCTTTTACAGCTTTCATTTAGTGGGACCTGTTAGCAAGTTGATATGTTAGTATGGAAAAATCCTGAAATTGACGTTTGAACCAGATAACTTTAACCAATTGACCTACAATTTCATATACATGTTTAGTTGTCATGACAATACACAACAAATTAAGTACTGCTAATTTTTAATCCAATATCACGGAAGCTCCAAATGGCTATTTCTGATATTCATAACAACCCCTAGGATGTGGTTATCAAATGAAGGAGCTTTATAAAAGACAATAAAGTAGTCTAAATCCAATATGACGACTACCGCAAAATGCCGATTTATCATTTCCATAGGTATCCCTATTGCCCTGTGGCAACCAAAGAGCGAGGGTGGCTTTCATTTCACAAAAGGCATTATATAAAGAAAATCGGCCATAGGGTTCTGGGGGGGAACTCTGACCCCCTGAATACGCCAGTAAGTTCATAAATACATACATATTCAACTACACTAACACAGTAACAGACTGCCTTTGTATACAAGAGGCCAATTATTTAAAAGTATTGTGTCGTACAGTTCCTGCGCTATGTATTTTGAGAATCTTCAAATTTTTTTTATCGAACTTCGAATAATACACAATTGGTTCATGAATACCGATATCGCAATGAGATAGCACGGAATAAAATTTACCTATATGAAATGCGGCATTTTTTTTATTTAACTGGAACCAAACAAATTTAAATTTCGCACTACATATACATCAGCTTCAAATATTTACAGACCTTTATTTACTCAATGAACTATAATGATCGAATAAATCCCGGAACACTTCAATATGGACCCAATTTTCTACAATGTCTGTGTTTACGGTTGAACTCGTTACATACAGTTTTTGTAATAATGATTTTTCTAACACTGATGACTCGGTCACAATGGCTGCTATCGTGAGTACCAACATTAAGCTGAGAAAAATTCATTAGCTACCAACAGTGATCAACAAACAGACCAGTAAAAGTCTCAACATTGAAGTTTGATGACGTCATTGTTCTGGCGACTCTCAGCGGTCGCTGCCAAATGGAATCAGGTCCCTGTTGTATAGCTCAGGATAATCGGCGAAGATTGTCATCATCCAAAAGTTTTGATGCAGTTGTATGTGGTATGGGTACATGTTATGCTTTTGGAGGATATTTAGCCGAGATCCAACTGACGTGGTGTGAAAATTCGCGAGAGATGATATGGGGATCCTCAAGAACGGCTGATAATACCTCACACTCATTTTCCTCATAACTACAGTTTTGGTCCTTTCCTCGAAAATAACTGAACCAATACGGGTAAAACGATGCATTACATTCTCAAACACCTTTGATTTTGGGTAACTGCGTTCAGGATATCGCTGCCGATCCATTCTAGATCCAAAAAGCCAATTTTTAGATATTTTCCCTCGAACCCAAATATTGTCAGTTTCCACGAAAAAAATCATGTTGATCATCGTCTACTACTGGTATGATTTAATAGATCATTAGAACGGAAGTGGCAGCAGCATGCTGCAGCTACGTTACTTATGCTGAAGAAACTGAATTCCATTTAGTGTCAAATCCATCAAATTCTATTTTCGTTCCATATATTACGGAAAATGATGTAATGAAAACAATTCTCTAGAGAACAACAAATCGAGATGTGGCATAGCCGAAATTCCTCCAAAAGTTCTTAAATCAGTTGCTGCTTTCATACCGGCACCTTTGTCTCTTCCTAATCTATTTAAAAAAAGATTTTGTTTTGCCTCTACATAAAAAAGGTTTTATGGAAAATATTGAAAATTATAGACAAGTATCACTTCTGTCAGAGTTCTCAAAGGTTACTGAGCGAACAGTGTGTACAATTAGAAATGAATTTGCAGTGAAATTTAACTTGCTGTCTGAAGCTCAGTATGGTTTCACACAACAGATCTGTAGAGACAGCAACCTCTGACATGTTGAATTATGTTTATTCACAATTACATCAAGTCAGTTATGTAGTAAGAATGATATTCGACCTATCTAAGGTATTTGATATATTGAATAAAAATATCATTCTAGAAAAAATTAGAATCGCTAGGTTTAAAAAGTCATATATTGAAATGGTTTGATTCCCACTTGTCTAATTGTAATATAATTGGGAAGATTGATAATGTGTTATCATAATTAATATCGTAAGGGCATCTAATTTTTCCGAAAAAAATCGAAAAAACACGTTGTTAAGTAATATTTTAACAAGAAGCATGAGTGCTGGTGGCAACAAAAATCCGAGTCGAAGACGAGGATTTTTGCACCTGCACAAATGTTTTTTGTTAGAAAAAATATTACTTTGCATTGTTTTTTTGATTTTTTTCACAGGAAAAAATTAGATACCCGAATGGTATTTGACAAGACCATTTCATGAGTAACAGATTATTTCTGATGTTCTAGGAGACCATAATTACCTGTTATCAGAGGAATTGTAATTTTTGGTGACAACAGCTGTCAAGTTTTGCCGCGAGTAAACTCGAAAAAACAGCGGACAGGTGCTGTCATACTATTTTTTCATCTAGAAACTATTTGTAATTCAAAATTGCCGTTTGTGATTGGTAGAGATTAAGACGAGAGTCAGATAAATTCCCTGTAAATCTGGGCGCTCCCCCAGTGGTCTATATTAGGCCCTGTAATATTTCTGCTTTTTGTAAATGAGTTGCCAGATTTCATTTCAAGGAGAAAAGTTGCTGATGATACCACGATCACTGTATCTGAAAGTTTTGTGTATGAACTGCATGAAAACGTCCTAGTCGTATTTGAAGAAATGGAAGTTTGGTGCCAAAGAAACAAGTTGATCCTAAATGAAAATAAAACTACCGCAATCAACTTTCGTATTAGAAAAGCCGTACATTCAACTATTGAGACATTAAATGTAGAGCTTGTTTACAGTTAGTGGATACAGTGAAACTCTTTGGTAGCTGGTTCGATTCAGATCTCTCTTCCAGCACCCAAACTGAGAATGAATACCTGTAATTAAATGAAGGCTATTATTTCATATGAAGCAGTATTTAGATAAAAATAGCGTATTATCACTATACTATGCTCTCGTATCAGTCATTTATCTTAAACATCCTATGCTGGAGTAGAGCTACAAGCATAAACAGAGATTGTTGTTTAACCTTAGTTTTGGCGAAAGTTGCAAATCGACGATATCAAATCAAAACCTCGTAAGTCCGAAAATGTCGATTTATGCATACAGGAATCAAAACAGAACAAAATCAGAAAATCGAAATTTTTCGGAGTATTGATTTAAGATCGTCGAAATACAGATTTATTGAAAATAAGCTCTTCGCAGTTCCTTACATTACATTAACATCACACCTATAAGACCAGAAATTCCATTTTGAAAGCAAATCGTTTTAGAACTATGGCATATACAAAATCCCCCAGTTCAACTACATAATATCATTGTAATACTCTACTTCGAGATCTGCGAGATATGGAGAGCCATATGAGATTTAAAAATAATGTTTTTAAGTATTTAAGTGATAAATGTCTTTACTCTATAAATTAATTTTTATATTTTCCTAATTAGTAAGCAATATGTTTTTATTTTAATTTTTTTATATAGAGTTCTAACAAGAAGCTATTTTACTTTAGTTTTGACTTTAAACGTTACTATAACAAAAACATTAGCCTAATGAACTTCTATTATCTTGTTTTGTTTATAGTGTGGTGTAACAAACAGTGTTAACTCACTTTGTATTTTATTAACATTTTATTGTGATATTTTTACTATACTTATTTTCTTTTGACATACCATGTGAACATTAGTTTGAAATTTGGCTAAACATCTACTACAGCTAATACTATTATTATTATTATTATTATGACAAATTCAGCCATTTCTACTGGACTCCATTTTTCCTATATTGTGTGTTCTTTACTCACCTTTTCTCTTGCTATACCACCTCTTTTCTCATTCTATGAGGATTCCTTTTGCCACGGAAATAATGCGCGTGAATGTTCAGTCTAAGTGTGTATCATATAAAATTATATTTTGTTTTACAGGTAAACCTATCGAAGAGTACCGGCGGCAACTTGGTAGTTTTGGAGTATCTGGTGACCTAGCGTTGCAAGGAATTGCGAGTTTGTCTGGTGGTCAAAAATCTCGAGTTGCTTTTGCACAGATGTGCATGGGAAGGCCAAATTTCCTTGTTCTTGATGAACCTACTAACCACTTAGATATTGAGACAATTGAGGCCCTGGGAAAGGCAATAAAAAAGTATACTGTAAGTATGAACTAAATCAACAATGAGAAACGTAATTTGGGTACCGCACCCGTGTTATGTGAAAAATTGCAATGTCAATCTGATCGCTATAATGTCATTTGTGAACTTACTAGTCGCTAGCCCATACCGCGCCTATTCGCTGTGAGCGCCGCTTAGGAGGGACGACACAACGACTACTTTTTGCCTATAATGCTGCAACCCACATTCTGCCAGCATGGATTGTGGGTTGCAAGTTGCGGAGATTTATAGAATATTTTTAAACAACATATGACGGAGAAAATATCGCATCTGGATGCTTGTGTGTATTGGTCTTAATGTGTATAGTATAAGTGCGATTTGATCGTTGATACCTATTCTCTGTGAGAATATTAATACTGTTTCCTCTGCCTGTAAAGTATATCTATTAGCTTGAAAGGGTTGGATTGATGTTACCCAACCAAAAACTATGCTGGAAGTTAAAATCTTCGGGTGACAGAGAAATAGGGTCAGATATGTAGATTTTGCGACCAAAGGGCTTCTAAAATTAAGAACTTTATCTGCTTGGTATGTATATTCTTAATCAGATGTGATTAGTAGAGACAGATGCTTAAGAAAATCTTCCTACGGGTGCATTTAGTTAAAGTTTAAAGCTATGATTTCTAATATTATTTTGCTATATATCCTACCTGATCATAACCAAAGATTATAGCAGTACAGTGTCAAAAAATATTGTTGTTATCGTCAAGCACAAGGACGTTACCGTGGTAATATTTGTCTTAACTGTTGGGAAAAAATATCCTTAAATTTCTTTGGGTTGAAGGTAAAGTTTTGCATAAGTACACTCTTATAACTTGAACTCGAGCTTTCGATGGTCTATGCCATCATCGTCTGGAGCTAAAAAACAATTTTTGAAAAAATAACAACAATAAACAATTAGAAGGAAAATAATTACTTACTAAGTCGGCAAGATTGTTGCTGAAATTGTTTTATGAGTGAGAAACCGAACTCTTTATTGAAAATTGTAGATCGGTCTTTGTCATTTATGTATGTAATATAACATCGCACATATGTCTAGCGCGGCTCTGTTGAGATGCCATCATCTGAACATTAAAATTTTCGATCACTTTGCAGTATTAGCGGGTCCACGGCCGTAATTTTGGTGCGAATGTTGCGCTTAAGGTCTTGAATCATGCGTGGTGCAGTTGCGTACACTTTACTTTTCAAAAATCCCCAGAGGCGTTAATTTGCACGATCTTGGAGGCCAATTCACATCGGAATTTCACGAAATAATGCGATCTGGAAATTTCTCGGCCAGTAACTGGATTGTTTGGCGAGCTATGTGCGAAGTTGCACCGTCCTGTTGGAACCAAAGGTCGTTGGCATCAATACCTTCCAACTTCGGCCAAAAAAAATCCGTTATTTTACCACGATAACGTTCGGCGGTGACAATACAGGCTTTTTCTTCTTCATCCTCGAAAAAGAACGGTCCAATGATCCCACCAGCCCATGATCCATACCAAACAGTTACTTTTTGATTATGGAGAGGTTGTTCATGGATCTCGTGTGGATTTTCCGAACCCCAAATCCTACAGTTTTGCTTATTTACTGAGGTAAAAATGTGCCTCGTCTGAAAAGATGATTTTAGCCGAAAATCCCTCTCCGTTTTCAAGCATCCAATTAACAAAAATACGCCGTTGCTGATGGTCCGCTGGCTTCAGTTGTTGAGTTGTTGGCCTGATGTCCAATTCTTGCGAACAGTGTCTTATTGAAGTTGATTGCTGTCCATGAACACTTTCACTCACAGCGGCCACTGATTCACGTGTACGTACCGGATATATTCTACGACCTTCAACTGAGCCAGTTTCCTCGAAACGATTGATAATCCACCGAATTCCACACACTGTGGGACCATTATGTCGACCAAATTCATCACGAAGTTTGCTTAAAGTATTTTTTAAAGATCGTCCGTTTTCGTAATATTTTTAGACGTCCAAAATGCGTTCTTGCGTTGTTAAAGAATCCATAATAACAAATGGCAGACCTCTAACAGTTAGATAATTATTGGTTGACTATGATGATTTAGGCTTTTGATCAGCAATGTAATGATAACCAATGAAATAGCTCAGCAGGCGTGAATAGCAGATATAATTACACGCACCTTATGGGAACGTTCAACTTGCGATGTGGGACTTGCTGAATTCATAAGACCTTTTTTGTAGACGGTGTAATTTCACAGGGGGGTTGACGGCCTAAAACATGAATTTAAGTGAGAAAAGTGAGATTTTCAAAAACCGTAGTGACAAATACCTAGTGAGTTTATACAAATATATGTATAGTTCAAAAATAATAAAAACCTTCATTCTTGCGGTATATTGGCGTATCATGTGCTCGATAATATCCTGGAAAGAGCATATCTTCCAGGACAACCACCATATAGATTATGATAAAGCTGGCCGCAAAGGGTTAATAGTTGATATTGTTTATATTCACCTTTCAAGGGTGCAGTTTATCCTCAGGATTTCGCTCGTATGTTTAGCGCGAAGACAGTCTTATTGATAATTTGTTCCTGCTGTACTCAACAGCGGATCAATATACCTCTAAAATAACAAAACATATCAAGGTATATCCAGAAATAAGAGATCGCATAACATGCCCCTTTCCCTGTATCCACCTATTCGCCGGTAGCACAGTGAGGGGAACTAAACAGATCGCCGCGCACGACGTAGACAAAAATGGGAACATTGTCGGACTAATAGTGGAATACAAGTGTAGGCTATGCGGTTTGATGTATTAAAGCAAGCATGATTAAAAATGCGTCACGATACATGTTGCGTTGTGAATTATATTGAAGTTCAAAAATAATGCAAATTCTGTGAGTGTCCACATGCTAGTTGGAAATTAGATCAACGGAATATATGGATAGTTCCATAAATAAAAAAAAGTTTGAAGAATAAGAAGAAATATTTTTGGAAAACTATAGTTTTCCAAGCACAAAATAGGTCAAAACATACAATATTTATAAACACTTATTTTTGTTCATAGTTGCATAAAAATTGACAATGCTTGTTGCTTGTATTGCACAGTACAAGTATAAATAATTCAGACCCACATTATTGCGATCTCTAGGTGGCGCTGTCATCGCGTACCTATGACACCAACCGGCCTTCACTTTAGATGAAGTATAAAGTCTACTGTGCTTCATTTATATATGCTTTGCGAGAAATCAAATATGTGTCAAAAATTTCATATATGCTGTTAAACGCAATGCATCCATGTAAAGGAACAATTTCGCTTTCCAGGGTGGAGTAATTTTGGTGTCCCACGACGAAAGGTTAATCAGGATGGTTTGTAATGAACTTTGGATCTGCGGGAGCGGATCAGTAAAGAGTATAGAAGGCGGTTTTGACGAGTATAGGAAAATTGTGGAGCAAGAGCTAGAAGCTGCTGCAAACGGCAAATAACATCGAATTTAACGGATTGGACAGTATCTAAAGCATTGTGATGGTGTATGCTATTTTTACAAGAAGTTATGTTTATACACCAGTGTGGCTGTTTTAGAGAAGCTTTCACCAGTTGAACATGTTTTGTTACATTTGTAATATATCGATATTTATAATTTGTAATTCATAAAAATGTTTATTTAATAATATATTGCTTCTTTCAATTTCAACTGGTAATTCACCGTATATGAAGGATCCAGGAGGTGGTGGAGGACCCAAAATGTAACAAACTTAGACCTGTATGTGTATAGCTTTCAAGAGTTCCCAATTTTTGTGTTGTTTTAAAAATTATTTGCACGAGACGTTCGAACAGCGCAGGCTCGTGGCAAACATGTATCTTCGTTTATCCAATTGCTTCTAAATTTTGGGCTGAAGTTCTTCCGTTATTCCAAAATCTCTGAAATAAGAGAAATATTTTTTTAGTCCCTGGCGTTGACGATCTGAAAAGCGGCAAAAAACAGCTACGCAATATTCAAAATATGATTACAGGGATAACACGTCAAAATGCCAGTTTTCTATTAAAATTAATTTGCTGCTATTAAACTATATACATTTGCAATCGACTTCAATGTTACACGTTATAAAGCCGCGTACAGACCGAGATTCTAACGCAAGCCAAGGCACATGTGGTTACAAATTTGGAGGTGATCGAATCGGTGTGTACGGCGCGAGCCAACCTAATGGGCCTACCACACGCGCAAGCTTCACCACACTCTTACCTGCGCAGGTATGAATTCACATTTAAATCTACTGAATGATTTAAAAGATGATTCAAACGACTAGCGAAATTATTTTTGGATGGGTGAAAATGACTATAGTGAATTTTTTATTACGCTTGGTTAAGCCTCTCATTCAATGTCAAAATACGGTTATGCGTGAGAGTATATCACCTCGTGGTTCCTGGATACTGCATTCTCTTTATTTCTGTCTGAATAATCCTTGCACTTAATTTCCCAGAGCGCTGGTAAGGAATTGTATAAATTATCAATTCCGTCGTGAATTCGCGATTATCGCGCAAATCTGCCATTTTGTGACGGACGAACGCATACCTACCAAACGACAACTAGGCTCGACTGTAACTTGAACACTTAACACCCAACCACACGCACAGGCAAGTACGGGCAGACCGGGCTTGCACAGACAAAATTTCAAACAAATCAAAACTCGCGCAAGCCACGCTCCGAGGTTTGCGCAAGCCAACGGAACGCCAACTACACGCACAGTGTTCCATGTATAAACCGGCCTGCGTAGGTAAAACTGTGGTGAAGTTTGCGCGTATGGTAGGCCCATAAACCTACGGTTTCCAAGGTCGGCGTTGGCATTCGATTGCGTTCGTTCCTTGATCGGTACATCAAAGGGAGGTTTGATTTGGTCTGGACAGGATTTGTTGCGCTTCTAGTATTTAGTCGTCTATCTGCATTCGATGAGAGTAGAGACACTTTTAAAATGCCCACCATCTTCACTTTGAAGTTCATTTAGTAAGTGACTGAAACTATACAAGGCCCTATTTTTAAATGGTGTTGTTACCCACCAACGTCTAGGCCGTTTCTTATTTTTCTTGGATATTACAGAAAGTATTATTAAAAACTCGGCACTCACCAGCAGTAAATCGTTTTCGTCACTCGACAGTAGCACCGAACTTAACCCGACGCGGTTCAATTCGAAACTAAATTTAGGTGAAGACGAACGCATTCCAATACCTTCCAACAACAAACGCCAACGCCGCGTGGTTGCATTCGTTTGCTCGGAGTTGGATTTTCAGTCTGTACGCGGCTTTACACGTACTGATAAAAACATTTGTTTATCTATCTGAAGAATGGCCTGACAATTCGTCAAATATAGATTTTATCGTCATCTATTATTAGTATGTAGTAGTATTATCACTTCAGCACTGCTATTTGAATTCTGGACATCCAGTGCTCTCTTCTAGTATCATAAGTTATCACTATCGCTTCCAACCGCTGGCATTGAGAAACTAAAATTCTCAACTTGATTAGTGTGTCACTTCCTTTGATCACTTATTTTAGCACCATCACTTGTCTAATCTAATTGCAGATTTGAGGCGAATGTAGTCTCGACCTCCCCTACACTTTGCCTAAATCCCACGGTGATCGAATAAAGAGTCCCGAAACAAACAGTTGTAGAGATCTTCACGTGAATTTGCCGCTATAATTCAACGTGCTAAGAAAAACTCATTGTCATTTTATGTTATTCTGCCATTATATTTCCCCTCACTGATAATATGAGCAGAACGACATAACTGTACCCCTTTTATCGCATTGTGAACGTGTACATAGATTCACAGTTGCAATTCCGAGAGGTAACCTTATACTTATTACTTAAGTTGGAAAGAAGTGGTCATCGCCATAGCGTGAAAATCTACCGTCTAACGGTTTTTCGATCTTGGACGTGGTCATAGACTGTGGAAGTTGTTCTGGCTGCCTCAGATGTGACTAGAGCTAGATCAATGTCTCTAAACTACCGTGCATAGTTGCACCTCAGGCCACCAACAGTTCTCACCTGCTTTTTAACCAAAAGGGGGTCTAACACAACAGCTACCTGAAGCGCTACGTGAAATGTGCAGCGCTATCGAATCTACGCCAGTTGAGATTTAGGGCACCCGCTTAACAAGTGTCATGTCAAATACCCCCAGGGGGGGTACACTAGCAAAACATGCCTGCAACATCATTGCCATATTATCCTAGCTTTTAAGCTGAAACTCACAGCTCACGTAGTACAAACCTTCTACAGGACCCAGGAGCGAAAGGTGATATGGTTTAGTTTTCAAATAGACGACAATGGAAATAACCAAACCTGTCCCCTTAGTTGCCAAAGGTTGTCATGTTGACGTCTCTCTGTCCTCTAAGGGTGAATTAAAACTACTAGGCTATCATATCCTTGCATTTAGCACTTCGAATAGAATCGGTTAGTAACTCATTTTGTGCAAAGCAAATAGGCATTTTTTGGAATTTGAATGCTGTGATGGATTAATTCTCATTTGCTCATGTCCGCGTTATCATTGGGACAAGAATGACCAAGTTGTGATTATGGATACATTGCTCGCATGCACCATTCGTTGTCGATAATTCAGCGCTCCTACCAAAGATAAAAAAGTCGTGATCTACGTTTTTGATCACTTTCTTCGCACGGTTACTTATATTGTTGTACTGCAGTTCAAAGCAACATCTAGCGCTTACGTTGCTCTACAAACCATACAGTGAGTGAATGTTAAGACTACATTCGCCTTGAAACGGCAATATAATTAGGCAAGTATTGGTGCTAAAATAAGTGATCAAAGAAAGTGAGCCGCTAATTAATTTGTACAGTTCATAATTTGTCCCTTTTATCGTCCACAATTCTTCCATCCTCGAAATATCCTCCTAATTCCGTGTACAAGTCTTGCCTTGCGCAAGTTGCCAAAGCAAATCGAAACATCTGTTCCAAGACAAAATTCTGCGATCTAACTGTTACTTTTGGTGTGAAGTATATTTGCGCTTTTTCATCATATTAGATTTAAGTTTATATTACGAAAACTAATTGAATTCTCACATAATATTTCTAACATTTAGACCCAAGTCTTTCGGTAATTATTGAATAAATCACAATAATAAAAAATCTAAAACATTGTTGATTGTCACTCTTACATATAGAGAATCAACTTTATTGGTCTCCTGTCACGTCTTGGAAGGCGCATGCCGGACTGTCAAAACCCGTTAACTAGGGTAGTAAGTGTGAATGCGTCAAAAAAAAATTTAAAATCATTATATTCAGCAAAAATGCTTAGTAAAATGTCGCTTGAACATGTACTGGTTTCCCTTTCTTGGAGAGCCAAAAATGCAATGTTAAGCTCAATTTTGAGAAGCCAAAATGTCTTGAGTTTTTGTACATTCTGATTCCAAATATATATATGGTGTACTTATTTTTATTACTTCAGTCATATACTTGAATTGTGTGTGTCAAAAACGCTAATCGCTTCCACTTAAAATATATACAGATTATCCCATCTAAAAAAAATATAAAATGAATTGATAGCACTTGTCGTGATACTCGGTATGTAAAAAGACATTGTTTGAAAAAATGTTTATTGAGTAATCATTTTTGTATAAAATCTTTTTTATATAAGAAAGTAAGAGGGAGAATCAATTTATAGATGAACTCCTTTCGATTAATGTAACTCCTGAAACTTATCCTGTGATTTTCATATTCATAGGACTCCATTGAACAACATGTTTTAATTTCCCCTTTATATAATATTATAAAAAGAATATATATACGGTTTGATTCGGCCGGATAACGGAGTCCTACTTTGTACTTTTGGTAACTCCAGTTTCCAAATGCAAACGCACTGGTCATATAGAAAGTAAACTGTCGATGCTTACTCAGGCATCTGTGGCTCATTGGCCAATAGGAGCTCGGGGATTTTATTTTCGCGTTTTGTTTTAACGCGGAGTAAATGAGATTTGAATATAGTTCACGTCTATTTCTTATCCATAACGTACTATAAAAAAACAACCTATCTGGTACTCTATCTCGAGATAGCTTGATTTTATCAAAAAAGATGTGACTACCGTTTTTACTGAAAAATCTTACTGATTGTTGTGACCTCTGCATGTTACGTTCAAAGATGAAATGCAATTGTAGTCCTCATCCGCAAAACTGCCAATATCAAGTTTCGTGTTGATTTGAGCTATGCAAAAATAATGATTCCAAGGATTAAACTTACATACCGTATCTCATCAATGAGCAACATTTCAATATGACGAACGTCACACGATCAGTCGTATTTACTGTGGTCCGTGCTGTCAGTAGTTACCGATAATTCCATCAGTTTAAGTGGATTTGTGAGTAACCTTATATATCAATTATTGACGTTCTGACCACAAGAATAAATATCACATTCCATGATAAGTTATGACGGATTACAGTAAGTACTGATCTTGTGACAATTGCATAAGGCTCATTGTCATTATTTCCACAAGTTTAATACAGGGTTACCTTTTGAAGTATTATTACAGATTAGAGTGTTCTGAAAGTTGGAAGTATCCTCTTCAGAAACAACTGCACTCAAAATAAAGCTACTGTAGTACCACACTGACATGAGGCAAAGGATAGAGACAACCGGGAAAACATAAATGAACGTGAACTAACATCATATCAATAAATCGTTTATTTTGAAATAAATAGCAACATCCAAAGGTGACGCAAGTAGTGCTGCTAATTGAGAAGCGATGATTCTAGCTTTTTGAGATAGATCCAGTGTTCCAGATCTGCCAACAAGTTCATAGCGACAACCTTTCTCTTTCGCACTATATGCGGTCCACCGACTCTGGTCTCATTCTCGTCTCAAGCTGACGACTGAGAACTAGGTTCTTAGTATTGTAACACAAACACCGTTTTTGCCACTTAAATCTAATTTCTCTCACACTAATTTATCACAAAAATATTCGAAGTTGTTGACTGTCGGTCGACTCTCTGCCTGCTTATGCCCGCTGTGCGTGAATTTATCTTCGAATTGACGAGCCGAGAAGCTCTCCCGCATTTTCTTGAGTCTTCATCGAAGCTTTTTAGATGACCGTCGATACTTCTCGATGCATGGCGAATGTACTCAATCCGTGGTCGCGTTGTTTTGGTTGCTTAAGCGTCGCTGTCACGAAAGTATCTCATTATTACTCAAAGTTCTGATTACGAGGGCGTTACACTCTAAACTGGCTCACCTATGTGACGGATGTATGGGGGGGCTGGTTATCTTTAAAGATTATAACGACCGATTCTCAAGAGCCAGTGCCTCTTGCACGACCTTTGAATGTTGTTAAGAAAAGCTTCAGTGTTGGACAGCTTAGACGACCTCGTTCTTCACTATCGATGGATGAGAACACCCTATAAATTGGTTTGGTGTCACCAATTAATCTTGGGAAGTTGTTTAAATAAGGTTGCTGGCCTTTAGGACCTCCAGATCGACAACGATAGCACTACCTTGGAGACGATATTATTGTATGTTGAAGTACTGATCGAATGACAACGTTATCAATACTCAAAAACCAGCAAGTAAAGCATGAAGAAGACTTTCCTTCGACCCAAGAAAAGAAAAGCTGCGAGACCCCCATAGGTTGGCGCTACACAGGTGGAAATTAAAAATTATGTGTTTTGACAAATGTCAACATTCTCAAAATTCAAGTATAATTATTCCACCATAGATGCATTACAGTAGTAAGAAGGTTTACGTTATGGTTGCCTTTGATGTTAAGAATGCCTTCAACACGACGCAATGGCAGAAAATCTTAGAATCTCGAGAAGCTATGCATCCGTACCTGTCTATTGAACATGATAAAGAGTTGCTTTAATGAGACTGCACTTATGGTGGTAGACAAAACGACGAGGTAACCATCGGAATGCCGCGGGGCTCCGTCCTACGCAGTTTAGACACACCTTGTTAATCCGACTTTAAACTGCCTAAGGCAATCCATCTCGACACCCTAGTAATAAACGAGCGGTCGTACCGGATCTTTCATGCACGAAGTTTGACAGAGTTAGGATGGGACGCAGACGCGTGGCGAATCTCTCTGGCAGCCTTACCGCGAGGTGGCATCATGGAGGAGAGCTCAGAGGAGCAAAATCCGTTGATATAGCGGCACAAGAGTGCAAGTTCGCCTACGGCCCGCAGGTGCGAAACAGTCCCGAGACTGTCCGTAGAGAAGTGTCATCTGAAACGTATCGACTATGGACAGTGTAGTCGGAGTTGCAGCGCCCCAAACGTGAGTAGTACTGCGGCTGGGTCTTATCGGGTCTTTTTACAGAGTAATGAGATTTTGTGGAGAAAAGTACTTCTCAGCCCAGTAGCTGATGCGAATGACGAGGTGTATTCGTGTCAATTCATTTGCCGAGTTCTGTCAAAACGAATCGCTCTTTGGCAGAACTCGGCCGTCCATCAAAATCGGCAGGGGTATTACGTAACCTGAAAAGTGACATTATGACGGATTTTTTGACATTATGTAGGTTTTTATGACATTATGTAGGTGTACCTAGAAGATGTAACTAGGAACTAACTGTCATTTACTTCATGCTCACTTGTTGCAGGTCCGGAACTATAGGCATATTTTTTAATTCACCGGTTGAGCCACCGGTGCAACCAATTAGCCAATTTTACTTCCTTTAATTTCCGTCTGAGCGACCAGTTGTACACCAAAATTGTCTATAAACTACGAGCCCCTTCCCACTTCAGTTGACCCACTTCAAGATTTGTACCAAAATACGCCTTTATAAACTAAACATGACGAAACTATTTACTTCTAAAACAATTTATTTTCTCAAAAACATTTTAGATACACTCTAGTCGTAAAAAATACATATTTGAAATCACTTAGAAGTATAACTAATAGAACATCTGAACAAATAAACAATTTGCGAATAAATGTGCGAAGTTAACAAAGCAACAATTGAAAGATTACCATTGAGTAACACCTTTATTTTTTATTATGGCTGAAATTCTTTGGGGCATAGTAGTTTTGGCAAAAATTTGGTGTAAAACAATCCCATATTTCTTGAAGCTTTTGTCTCAGTTCGGTGATTGTACGAGCAGGATGTTGTCGTAGAACCTTTTTCATCCCGTGCCACAAAGTTTCAATAGGTGACAGATCTGGACTGCTAGAAACCCATTTCAAAAGTGGTACATTATTTTCTCCCATCCATTTTATAGCCCTTTTTGAGGTATGACACGCTGCACCATCTTGCTGAAACAAAAAATCTTGGCCGGATGTCAAACATTCTTCCATCACTGGTAAAAGCGAACCTTCTAAAATTGCCAAATATTTGTTTGTATCCACATTTCCATCAATAAAATGAAGTTTTCCTACTCCTTTTGATGACATACTGCCCCAGACCATAATGGATGCTGGAAATTTCACTTTTCTCTTCAGTCAACATGGAATGCTTCATTTTTTTTGCGAATAACTCTACTGCGACTGTCCACAACACAAACTTGAATCGGGCCTCATCACTCCATTGTATTGCACACCATTGTTGAGGTGTCCATTGTCTATGTTCTTTAGCCCATCTAAGCCGATTTTTCTTTTGCAGTGGAGTTAATAGTGGCTTTTCTTTGGACTATAAACAAGTTGTGCAACTTTAGGGTTTTTCCTTCACTTTTTTTTTATAAGAAAACTTACCTTGCAAGTGCTAAATCCCAGTTTGTGGGCCTCTCTATGAGTTGTGGACCTTGAAATTGTCCTTCCAACAGCGTCACTCCACAGAGCACTTAATTGTAAATAATTGGCACGCCTGTTTTTCACCATTATTCTTCTTAATGCTCTTCGGTCGGCATTTATATACTTTTTTTCACATATCGTGGCTTAATATTAACTGTACCAGTTACGTTATATCTTCTAACAATATTTCGCACACTGTACCGCTTTATCAGTAACCGAATTTTCTCACCAATAACCTTTCCTCTACCCATTTTGAAAACCTTAACTACCCAAAACTATTTTAAACGTATTCTGACAGCTGAGGTTAATAAAAACAATTTTCATGGCTTTTATTTTTCACAGCCACCTATGCGTTATAGACTTATTTTGCATTGAAATGAAAATAGGTTGATATGCTGTAATTGCAACATGTGTTATTTTTATGCTGCAAATTTGATTAGGGAGTGATAAAGTTGGTGTTTTCTACTATATATTATCAAAATATTCATTGTTAATATTTTAAACCTATAACACCCTGCTACATTTTTATTATTTGTGTTTGATAAGAAGAAAACTAAGATTTCAATAGTTGGGCCAACAGAAGTGGGAAGGGGCTCGTATATAGACAAGTTTGGAGTACAACCGGTCGCTCAGACGGAAATTAAAAGAAGTAAAATTAATTAACTGGTTTCACCGTTGGCTCAGCCGGTGAATTAAAGAATACGCCTTATTTGAACACTACCAGCTATCTAGTCAACAAGTTGACATTGTATTGGTTTTTTGACATATAGCTTTTTTACATAATACCCCTGAACATAAGGGCGCTTCTTGTAGGTCAAGATACAGTACTGTTTTAGAAGCATTAAACTGTACCAGAATAAAGTGAAAACTGTTTATGGTGACACTACATCTTTTTACCGTCTGCAATAATAAAGTCTTATTATTATTAAATTTTCGAATAATTATACAGGTCCGTTTTCATTGTAACCACAGAACACTGTTGTGACTATATCAAAGTCGTCCTCAATTTGTTTAACTTGCACTCCAATTTGATCTATTAAAGACTTTTAGCCACGATTTTGAATTGTTGGCACCATACTACGATTACCAATATTTACCGCCCCAGTGCGCCTATTATAGACCGAATTAATAAAAATAGCGTAAGGAGTTATGTTTAATCATACCAAATCTTTTACAATATGAAAGAGGAGACCATCAAATACAAAATAATGTAAAAAAGATACAGATTGACAATACATTATATACAAATATTTAAGTTTGCCTTAAAAACCATGTCTTCAAACCATTGATGTCCACAGAGCCATCTTTATGATAAGCATAACTTTCTGCAATATCTACCTTCATGCCTATTGCAGCAAAATCGAAATATTCATTGACGTCACCCAAAATTGCTACTTTTTTAGCCTTTAGGTCCACTGACTCCAACTGACTGGATTTGGTGGTACGGAGAGTATTCCTGGAATTTAAATGAGATTATAATTTTTAAAAAGCTTTCTTCGATCTAGCTACTCTACTAAGGTGATTGAGATGAACTTGTAAAAACTTTAATGTGTCAAAAACAATTTGATAGTAACATCCATAGGTTGCGCAAGCGGTGCTGTCCATTGAGACTTGGTTCTGATCTTTGGAGATAACCAGGGTTCGATCGAATATCAATTTTTTTGAAGAAGCCGATGTTCAGCTTTGAACAAAACATTCGGCCAAAGCCAAAGGTTGAATTAACCGTAAGTAGTACTTATAAGTAGACCGTTTCGGTTTTAATATATGATTTCAAATCGAAACCAGTTAAAGTTAGATAAAACGTAAAGATAATTTAATCCATTTGAGTTGTGTTACATTCAGTCAGACTAAAATACAAAACTCTTGGTAATCCAGTTTCTCGGAACTGGTAAGAAATACCAACTCAACTAAAGTATATTAGAGAAAGACACCTAGCAAGTTTGCAAAATTCGCACTATTTTAAGAAATAAACCAAATTCTTGAAATGGTATCCACATATAATTTTGGCAATAGCATTAGTTCTATCTTTATTGGCTTTGCAGCATGTTTTGAATATAGTTCTACTTATCATATGATTATCAGATATGACACATAGAATGTCAAAACCTGAGATCTCAATAATAGCTTAAATCGCGGTATCAGTTCTGAATGGTTATGAACCGTTCGCGCCTGCGCAGTGTCATAAACAGCGTTCGCGGTACAGAGAGAACCATTAGTGAACAGTTAGTTCAGCGATCGCGGCACCGATTTGACCGGTTCTGAATTAGTGCTGAACTGGTTCTAACAGTTCCTGAATCAGTCGAAGGACGCAGAGTTCGCACATTGTCAGTTATCGATTATGGGCAATTTGTACGTGATCTACTTGTTTAGTTGTGAGTACAAATTTTTAAACAACTTATTTGATAGGACACGTAGCAATATCTGGTAAGTTTTTTACTGCTGTTGTAAATAAGCGAATGTATAGACTAATTTTACAGATATCAGTGATGCATCTGAGCACTTCAGCTCCAGCGATGATGATTTAGAAGAGACATTGGACCTCATTCGAATACCAAAGTGTGAGGGATATTTTGAAGACGTTGTTCAGCAAATGCCAGACAACGTATATTTTGACCACTTCCGTATGAGCCGGCAAAAAACAGAGTATCTTGCTGAAAAATTTGCTGTATCACAATACTTTTCAGTCGGCAGAGAAGGTGATTCAGAGAAAATTAGCGCACTGAAGTTTATAACTGTTTTTTTATGGTATGCTGGAAATGAGGCTTGTTCAAACAGAGATGTAGCCGATAGATTCAACATATCAGTAAGCAGCTTGCATAAGATTATAAAACGGCTTAGGTATTTTTGAGTAACCTTGCCCCAGAAGTAATAAGATGGCCAGATGATGAGGAAAAAGTCATTATAAGCCAACATTTTACAGAAAATAACTTCCCAGGTGTGATAGGTGCTCTAGATGGTACACACATTAGAATTGATAAACCATCACAAGATCCAGAATCGTACTTCAATAGAAAAAGTTTCTACTCTATCCAAGTAATAAATATTGCAAGACTACCCTACAGTATCTATAAAATATCAAGTTACAATTAGATTTTGATATAGAATTAATTGTAGGCTTTATCATGACGCATGCACGCACAGAACTATTTTACAATATTTTTTTAAGCATGCATGTTCAGGGATTTGAAAAATTAATTCTTATTGTTTATTTTTTTTCCAGGTCCAAATTGTGTGCGACCACAACGAAGAATTCGGGATATATTTCTGGGATTTCCTGGCTCTGTTCATGACAGCAGAGTTTTTTCAGCATCACCTCTTGGTGATCATTTGGCAGAGATGTGTGGACAGTATCATCTACTTGGAGTCAGTGCTTATCCATGTCTGGTTAATTTATTAACACCTTTCAGGGATAACGGTCACCTCACTAGGCGGCAAAAAAATTATAACTATTTGCTTGCAACAAATAGGTATATTATTGAACATTGCTTTGGAAGTCTTAAACAAAAATGGAGAAAATTGTATCACATAAAAATGCACAAAATTGCAGATATAGTTCATTTTATTCGAGCTTGTGCAGTCCTTCATAATATATGTTTGGAAGAGACAATTGTTATAGTCCCTGAAAATACAGAATTGCCAATAAACCAGGTCCTTGATAATACTGTAGATGACAACAACAGGAATGGGAATGAGAGGCGATATGACATCATGAATCGTCTTCCTATAATATTGTAAACGTCTTACAGAAGACCTAAGGGTTGTTTAAAAAATTGGAGTCAATTCCTCTAGCAGGATCAGAGATCACTCGTTTCAAAAACATTTATCTTCCTTCACATCTGGACTGGAAAAAACCATAAAATTACCCCATTTTTTACTGTTATTCTCAGCCTATATGGGAGGATGAAAAATGTTTTTACATAATTGATCACTGAATAAATAGGCTATTGATCTCATAAAATGGTTCAGTGAAAAAAAAATTCAGTCTGTGGAACGGTTGTTGCCCTCGCACTATTCTCTTGGATTACATGAAACCTCAAAATTAAACTTTTTGACTAAACATCTAAAAACTGGACATTCAAGGCTTTAGATAACTTGTAAAACCTTAATATGATCATTTTTCACAGATACAGCACTTCACTAGAATTTAAAATTGCTATTTGATCCCTTGATTGTTCCCATTAGTGCATTATTTTTCATGTATGCATTTATTTTTGGTTTATTCATATTGGATAGCCCACAGATCAGTACCTGAAAGGTGCATAAGCGGAGCAATATTTTGTGTCTGTATCAGTCTAGGCCTTATTTAATATAAATCTGTTTAAGTGATTTTGGAAATAAATTAATGTTTTTCATACAAACTTTATTTTAAATTCTTATGGAGCCTGTAAACGGGCAATCTTTTCGTCAAAATACATTGCTATAACTGCACCATATGCTGCAACATTATCATATACGGTTGCTATTGTTACTACAGCAAAATTTCTATGATTATATTGCCCATTTAGTGGCTTCAGTATATAAATAACAATAATTAATTTTTTAACTTTAGTACTGAGGACTCTATTTTTCTCTTTCCAATCTGCCTTCTTAAGAGTATGTTCCTCTCTTCTGCCATATTTATCTTTTGTTTTTCAACATCTAATCGCTGCTTGTAGAAATCTCTCCTATCGTCTCTGATTTCTTGTAAAATGTTATACTTACTTCAGACGTTTATTAGGATACGTTTTAGTTTTGTGATGTTGGCGTCGTGGTGTTTCTTTGGATGAGTGTGGGGTTAATAATTGATCCTCTGATGATTCCAATGCAGGAGTGTTCAGCATATCAACCCTGCTTGTATCAGATATCTCGGGTTCCTTTAAGTGTTCTACCGTGTTACTTGATAACAGGAGCACTGGATTGATATTCTTTTTGTCCACTAATATGTCGGCCATTATGTCCGCATACTCAAAAAAGCCTCTACCCCTGCCTGTTTTTTTATTATTGTCACAAAATTTCTTTCCAATACCTTCAATCGATTTTCACAGTTTGATGGAGCCACGTTCTCATTGGTTCTCTGGTTGATCTCATTGGCAATGGATTCGTACAACTATTTTAGTTTTATTTTCCCAGCCATCAGCAATTGCTTATATTTCTTATATAAATCCAAAAACAGTAACGTATTCTGTCGTGTCCATTTATATGAAACCTCTGCATTTTGGGATTGCCACTGTGATTGAATTGCAGAATTACCTTCTGTACTGATTATTATGTATTCACTGCATCCTAAAATAATCCAGATTTAGTTTGTTTGTATGATTTTTGTTCAACTATAATTCTTACCAACACTGTGAGTATTTTCATCACCCTGGAGTGACATAATTTTCTTTCTTTTCCCGATTTTCCAGTTTCCAACTTAAAACCATAAAACATACACTAAAAACCGCATAAAAACAGTTGAGATGCGCAAAGTGTTAATGTCAACTGTCATAGGCATAGAGCTGTCATCGCCAGTTTTCATGAGATCTCGGTACCCACAAAATCCTGAACCAGCACTGAACCGCGCATGCGCAAAGCATTGAACTTTACTAGTTCTGAACCGTTCGGAACTGGTACTGTATTTGTACCTCGATTTAAGCTAATATTAAGAATATTTTTGACAAGTGGTGCTAATGAATCCACACTTAAATTGTATACTGGCTCCGATCTAAGAATTATAGAGCAGCCAAAAGGTGAAGTGACCATAAAAGCTAGTATAGCTTTTGCTACTTCATTGGCATTAGAAGCATAGCCTACTATATTTTTTGATTTAAAATCTGATCTGAATTGCATTGATCAGCAGAACTACATTTTTCCCTTTCCGGTAGATTTAATCCCATTTTTGTGAAATAATGCTGGTTGTTAGTATCAGTATGGGGTATAAGGTTCATACTTGAGATGTGGTGCAAATAATATCTTTTATTAGGTGGAAGAAAAAAATCTTTTATCAGATTGAAAGTAGAAGGGGACTGACTATAGAACATAAATGCCATAACAACTGTGAGTGAAGAATATCTATTTTTCTTATTTTGAATTTGTCTTAGTTGGTCCATTTAAACTTCTAAGTTTTGCAAGTGACGGAAAGATATTGGCGACACATTATTTGAAAAGCATTTACAAGTTCAAAATAAATGTACTTGCTCAGCTAGTTTTCTAACTGGGACGAGATAGGAAGCTTCATAGAAGCACCTATTTTAAATCATTGAATGACAGCTGATTCCCTTCATTAAGTACTTTAGTTTATAATGAACTATTACAATTTGAGTATTTACGGCTAAACTTTCACCAATAGTATCTGATTTGTAAAAATAAATTGTGATTAATCTCACTTTTTTCAATTTTGTTTTTTCCTCAAATTCTGAAACTTAAATTTCATGGTGTTGACAGATTTTCTCAATCAACAGCAGGTTTATTCTTCCAGGAACCTGATGCTCACTTAAATTGGATGGCAAATTTGGTAAGACATGCGCGCACACCCGCACACACAACATATCAAGATGCGCTTGTATACCTCTTCTTTGCCAAAATGTTATTGGTAACAACTAGACTTGAATGAAGCATCGTGATTATATGTTTAAACCTTTGTCGAATAGAAAACTGATACAACTATCGACTTCATACTCTGACTATTAGTGAGTAAGCACAAGTACTTACTTTTTTACTCAAAGTTAGCATTTGTTGTGTTAACCGATTAAAAATATATCTTTTTGGATTTTGAGCACAACAAGGGCTACTAAAACATTCCCCCATAATTTAGAGATTTCAAAATGATGAAAAAAGCTTCTGTTCGAAATTAAGAAGAAATTGGAAGTAATAATAGTATGAAGAGGTGGTAAATGATACATCCTACTGATGATCGAGGGTGTGAGTGTGGTTGAATAGTTTTGTTTCCTGTAAAAAAATTATTGCTTATGGTGGCTTAAGTTAGGATCACTTTCTTGAAAACGCATTGCCACATGTTCATGTTCACACTTGTATGAAGTTAGCAGCTAATTCTTCCGCGCATTCGCGTGAAGTCAATTTTCGTCAGTCACTTTTTTTGTACCATTTCTAGCTAATTTTAGCAACATACCATCTCAAAAGGGTAGTTCATCCTTAGTGTATATATATTTAGAAAGAGGTATGCAGATTTTCAAATACGCTAACAGCATTGTTGAATAGTGAAAATGAATAAATCACATTGTAGCCAGAAAAAAATTAAGCCAAAAATGAATAAAGTGTTCCTTTCATAAGTAGCCTTAAAGCCACATAGATTCCATCTTCTTCCGACATGTCAATTGGGTTGATTCCACACCTTGAACGTCACAAATGTGTTTTTTTCCATTTTTCACCTAGCCAGACAGAAGTTTCAAGCTAAAAATGAATCAGAAATGTTCCTTTCATCAGTAGCTATAAGGCCACAAAGACCCCATTCTCTTTGGACCCGTCTAAGGGATTGACTACTGCCCTTGAACGTGAAAAATTTTTCACCTCCCAGAAAAAAGTTACAGATTAAAAATGAATCAAAAGAGCTCCTTTCGTTAGTGGCTATATTGCCACATAGATCTCTGCTTCTTTGAACCTTCAAAGGGTGACCCTTGAACGTCAAAAATGCGGTTTTTCTTTATTCACCTAGCCAGAAAAAAGTTACAGGCTAGAAATGTTCCTTTCATTAGTAGATTTAAAGCAGCATAGAACCCATCTTCTTCGGACCTGTCGAAGGGATTGACTTCAGGTCTTGAATGTGAAAAATGTGTTATTGCATTTTTCACCTAGACAGAAAAAAGGTACAGGAAAAAATGAATCAAATGTTTTCCTTTCATTAGTAGATATAATGCCACATAGAATCCATCTTGTTCGGACCCATCCAAGGGATTGATTTCACCCCTTGGATGTCAAAAACACGGTTTTTTGCAATTTTTACCTAGCCAGAAAAATTAAGGCTAAAGATGAATCAAAAAATGCGTTTTTTGCATTTTACACCTAGTCAGAAAAAAGTTACAGGCTAAAAATGAATCAAAAGTGTTCCTTTCAGTAGTAGCTAATAAGGCCACATCTTTGTCGAAGGGCATGAAAAAGCAAAAACATTTTTCACATTTAATGGGTGAAGTCAACCCCTTCGATAGGACTGAACAAGATGGGATCTATGTGGTCTCATAGCTACGAATCAGAGGAACACTTTTGATTCATTCTGTAACTTTTTTCTGGCAATGCATAAAATGAAAAACAACAATGCTGTTAGTTTCTTTGAAAAACTGCATTCCTCTTTCTAAATAGCACTACTGGTGAACCTACCCTTTTTGAGGTAGACTACAAAAAAAAATGGCTGCTGAAAATTGACTGTTAACTTCACACAAATGCCTGGCAGAACTAGCTGGGCTTTGCTCTATTTCCAAAAAGCAAGTAACAGGTATGTTGAACAATTACAAACCCTAAAATTTTTACAGAGTAGAACAAAGTACTCTGTAACAATTTATGAATACAGCCCTGCTTAAAACTGGCTGCCAACTTCACACTGGTGATGTTTACATATGTGGTATCGTCTGTTGTGTAGTACAGATTGTCAATACTTACAATTCCTTCTCAAACATAGATTTAATAGCAGAACCACCTTTGGCAAATGTTTGATCCTGTTTATTACATAGGATCAATAAACTAGGTTGATTTTTTTGTATTACTGGATCTATCATGATATTATATAAATATTCTGCTGCATCTCTTAAATCTTGTTGAATTGTATTTGAATCTACAATATACACAATCCCCTTTACAGTATCTTTGTACAAATCAAAGAATTTATCCCTCAAACGCTCATGGCCAGGAATGTCTATTATTCTCAACACCTCCTGCAAAAATATACAACAAACTTCAATCAGATGGCTCACTAATATCTATCTAAATACTCACGTTGTTAACAACATATGTTCCAACATTCTCCTTGGTAGATGTATGTGTTTGAACATATTTATTATATATCAGCTGTGAAAAAGTCAATGTTTTCCCACTGTCACATAGACCAGTGAAGACTATACTTTTTCGTAAACTTTTCTGACGTTTGTACAGCCATAAGATCACTAAAGAGTTAGAGTATTAATTTTTTAAAATATATTGTTTAAAATACCATACCTAATGTAATCACTATTACAAAAATAGTTATGAATATTTTAGTGAAATCAGGTCCTTCCATTATAACATGCCCTTTTTTCTCAGCCATTACCACTAACAAACCTAAAACAAATCCTTGTGGTTAGTTAATTCACTAAACTAAAGTAAAACTCAATTTTGAAAAACGAAAATAGTAGATGGACAAATTTTAATAACATAAAACATATATACTGAACAGGGGGGTGAAACGTCATATGGGCGAACTGGCAACACCAACCTCTCTAGGCAAAATCGAGGAAACTGCATTACCGGCATCACGTGACGTGCTGCTTGCCGGGATTCTCTGTCTTTATCTAAAATTCTAAATATAGAAATATCAAATATGGAGTTTGTTTTGATTAATATCCAGATTATCAACTGTGATGCTTTCGGAGATATTTCGTTAAAATGAGTATAAAATATAAAACACCACTATCAGTAGCTGTGGTGATATACGTGAGATGTACTGTGACTATTGTGGGGGATGCAGAAGTTCATGATACCCTGTCATAAGTCATAAAGTGCTACAGGAAGGCTGTGAACTTGACATAAATCAAATCCAAGCGAATAACCAAAATTTCTGTGTTATGTGCCGCGGTTATAATATGGTTCAAGATGACACAGGGGTTGATGACGTCAGTTACACGAATCACTTGAACGCGTTGGTTTTAACCGCGGTTTTGTTGCCAGTTGTTTATTTTAGAAAAGAGCGTATATAATCTCTGATTATTTTTATTATCACTTAATAATCGGTGCTTTTTCGTCTACAACTGTATACGGAAAGTTTAAATAAGAAACCTTTCATAATATTCATGGGAGAAATGTTTTTTCAGATTTTTTTTTAATGATGGAACCATGGCCTTGTAGCTATGATAACTTTCAATTCTCTAAATTTTTCCGCATGTCAAAGAAAACATTTATTGATTCAGCAGAAATGATGAAAAAAGAAATTAGCAAAACCATATACAGGTGGATATCATCTAGTGAGTTTATATGGCCATATTTTAATATTCTTGTGGTATATGGCTACACAGGATACTTTGTTAAGCATAGGAACTACATTTAAAGTGTCCCCAACAACCGTAATGAGTATAACTAATAAGGTGCTCCACTTTATGGTAAAACTGAAGTCAGCCTGTATCATTTTTCTCAAAAATGAAGCTGAAGTACAATAACAATATCCAATACCCGGAAAAATTCTAACTTGTCACATTTCAAATAATAACCAGAAATATAAAACTACTCTTGAGTTGGGTAAATACCACAATTTTGCGGTGATAACTATGACATATAACAGCTGATTCGTGACGTCACGGATCTTATAACCAAACTGATAACTACACTCGCTTGAACGGATTGGTAAATACCAACCCAAAATGGTAAATACCATGTCTATTTGGTTATCCGCTTGAATTTGATTATATAGGCATGATGTTGTTGGTCGATTATTTAAAATGCATTTCTAGATTCAGCTTCTTTATAATTATTGTAGTTAGCACCAGTCCGGTGGCAGGATTTGGATTCCAATATCAAATGTTTTCGTAACCGTTAGGCAGGGAAACGGGGAAGAGGCCGCGCTAGCTTCGTCATTCGTGCGGGTTTTTAGTCACGATGTCGCATTGGACGGAGAATAACGCCCGTTCGCAATCGATTCATATTTAAAGGTGAATGAATTGTGTGCAAATGCTCGTCGACAATTTTGTTCACGGTACAATATTCGACAAAAACATTATGCTTGGAGTAGTGATGAAGAATCAATTCGTTCGTGGGTGCGGAGATCCCGAGCAACAGGATCAGAAGTAAACAACCCTCATTTTAGCTCTTAGAAAATATCGTTCGCTAGGTTAATGATGTCCCACAATCACTTCTGCAGCGAGTAGCACGAAATACTGAGGGATTTTAAGAGTGTGTCCGACGAAGTGGTAAACATTTAGATGACATGATTTTCAAGAAACAAAATCCGCTCTTTTCTTCTTTATAATAATTATCGAAATAGATGTTTGCCTTTTGTAGATTTTTTTTAATTTAGATTTTAAATCAGAATTTTGCCAGCGGACACCCTGTATAAAGTACGAAAGTTTGTTGTATTAAATAAGACTTAATAATATGGGAAGGGTACAATGTTAGAGCCTTAAGCTTTATACCTAAAGCAAAAGTCTGCTGATCTAGGCGAACAAATTAAAGGTGTAGAGCTGGGCGGCCTAATTAAAAGTGACTAGCTTATTTACAAAGAATTATGAATTACATTAGTGTTTACTGTATTATTTCAGAATTATCAAGAAGCAATTCAATGAAGTGAGACATCTGTGTTTTGCAACACACAACATCAATTTGGAATAAATCTATCTATATTTTCAATACAATTGTTATACCATTGTCAACAGCATATGATTATATTTGTAAATTAATTATATTTTGTGCTTCATAATTAGTGTTGGATTTTATTATTCTGAACCTTGTTCCCAGCAAAACTGATGAAAGAGATACATATTACCCTTATTGGGGATATTTTATGAATATACGTTCTTGAAATAATCCTTCAATATCGGAAATATTTTCAGCAGATTTCAAATTATCGCTTAACGTGCAGCTCCCACTTCTTCAGTTTTATGTTATGTGTTTTGTGATACCGAAGAAGGTTTAATTCCATGTTATTCAAGGACAGCACGGCTGACTTATGACATTGTCCGCGGCCATTATTTAAGGGTGCACGTGAGCCATGGTTGCCAGGCCGTAAATCCATGATACGCCACGTTGCTCTACCTATAAATATGAGATTGCTATACTTTTATATATAGAAATTTGTTGGGATATGAGAGATCTTCTAACAGCATAAATATGTTATTAACATTTTGCTCTATCTTGACGAATAAGTGCTATTTTGTATATTAATATAGCAGTCAATAACACAAGCTGTTATAAGATCACTCATATCTTCTTAATAATCTGGAAAGGTTCAAAAGAAAACAATATATTGCAATTACCTGAACATATATTTATTATATAGATCTCATACATTTTTCTACAAAGAACTTTATATGGGTATAACAGATTTACCTATGCCTGTTTATTTTTTTAATTTTAGATTAGTAATTATCATGAAACGGTTTTTGAAACCTGTTCAAAAGCAAACAGCAGTTCTATCTACAAACGCATTTTTTTCGGTTACTAGAGTAATACAGCTAATAAAATTAGCTTCTAAAATTGCTTCCGATTTTTTTTTTAATTTTAATTTTTCATTCGAAGTTATGGTGATTTTATTTTCTTGACCTGGCAACACTGTTTATTTGTCAAATTGACACTTGCATAAGAAATTTGTGTACGAAACGAATTACGAAATCGGAAAGCTATATAGCAGCACCTGTGGGCAGACACTTAAAATTTAAAATAGTACTATTTTTTTCTTAATACTGAAAACATCATCTCTAGTTCATAATCTGTTTAATTACTTATATAATGTCCCACCAAACGGGAATAAAAGGTAAATGTTTGAACCATTACTTCATAACAAGATTTTTATTCCTTTGTTTACAGCTAATGAAGAGCTGAAGAAGTTTTTTGCCAAATGTAAGGATGGAAAGATACGATATGTTAAAGTATCTATACTAGAAGGTATGTAAACTCGAAGTATATAAGAACATGATTTATACATTCATTTGCAATTACAGAACAGCTAGTGAAGGAGAGCTACAAGGAGATTAAACACAGTTGGGAAAAAGACTTTGAAAAGTATATGCCCCAGTTGGTGGAAGAAAATCAACCATGTTACATTTTATTTAGACTTGATGGTAAGGATTCGTCTGGTTATGAATGGCTCTTTATAAGTTGGTGCCCTGATACTGCCCCAGTTCGACAAAAAATGTTGTATGCCTCTACAAAGGCTACATTAAAACAAGAGTTTGGATCAGCACAAATTAAAGAAGAGCTCCATGCCACTATGCCTGTAAGTAGTTTATGAAGGAGGAGTATTTTCATTTCATTTTGTATTTTCCTCTTATCATAAAGGTGAATGCCCATCTCAAGCCTTACACTTCAGTTATTGTGTATCAAGTCCAGCTATAACCCTTTGAGTGTTTTTTAGTTGCTCTCGTTTTTTTTGTAATTACTTATGCAAATAATCTATTTCAAAGTGGTGTTAGTGTGTTTGAAATGAATGTACAATTATACACAACTACCATCTAATCTGAAAAATGTATTAAAATTATAAAGAACTTAAAAAAGGGGCAGAAGTAGCTCTCTTAGCACACTTACCTTACAAAAAGAGGAGATAAATGAAATCTGTGGCAATGAACAGGTTCTCAACAAAAAACAGCAGAGATAAAAGTTGATGCAAAAAGGTGTATGTACTGATGAAATGGTAAGCTAGCATGAAAAAATGTACAAAGTGATTATTCAAAATCAGGTAATAAAAATGATACAACTTATGATGTTGAAGCAATATTCAAACCAAAATCGTCCATTTCTCATACCCCACCTAAAGCCAGCTAAGAATACCATCCAAGTCATACAGATGTTCTTGCAGAAAAACAGCCAAATCTTGAAAAAGATAAAAGATCCAGATCACATTCTAGTCCAAGGACCGAAAATGTTGGTAAAAGGCAGTGTCATGAGGTGAAAACCTGTGTGACAGAAATTAATTCAAATCTTTTTTTGATGAAATTGATACCATAATAAGGTGCATCAATAGAGACATGATGCTAACTCCATTCAACAGACAGAATAAAACATGCATCCTACAAGTCACTATGAACATACAAAAGTTACTGACACATAGAGATGATCGATATATCGGTACCGGCGACCTTTCCCGGTGACTTGAATGGTCGCTGTTAGTCCCGGCGACCTGATTCTCCATGAAGCAGCGACTAAGATCGCTGTTTGGAAGTATCGATATCGGTAACCACTGATCGGTAGCTGTAACGCTGTTTCGGTCGCGGTCGCTGCCAGGAAGCATATATACATCACGATCATCGCGCGGGAAGTACAGGGTCGCTACAGCGTAGCCTAACCTATTTTGTTAGTTTTTATTGTTATTGTTGTGAGTTGCAAGCACCTTATAAATATGTCAAAGCGCCAAAAGACTAGTGATATTTGGAATTTCTTTTCAGTAAGTGATAAAGTAAATAACTATGCAGAATGTAATGTATGTAAAAAAAGAATTTCCTTCAAAACGACAAACTCAAACATGAGGAAACATTTAAAAACCAATCACCCAACAGTTCAGGTTCTGAGCACGAGAAAAGGAACCGAGCAATCTACGATGGACTGTGTTGGTGATCAAACCGATCACGATTATATTGCACCTTCTACGTCGACGTCTTCTATTTCTTCGACTAGAAATATTTGCAAACCTGCTTTAGTGAAAAAAAGTATCACGAATCAAATAAAGATATCAAGTTTTATTGCAAACAAATTAGGTGTCAGTGCAAACAAAGTTATAACAGAAAAACTTTTAGAAATGTTTTACAATGACTTTCAGCCATTCAGTATGGTCGAGGATCAGGGTTTCAGAAGTTTTGTAGAATCCTTGAATCCTGCATACGAGATTCCGAACAGGCAAACCATTTCAAAATCGCTCATTCCAGCAAAATATGAAGAATGCCTTCATCGATGCAGAGAAATAATGGATGGTGTGAAATATGTATGTATAACGACTGACAATTGGACGTCAGAAAATAATGACAGCTTTTTAGGCGTCACAGCGCACTTTATCAGTGAAAATTTTGAAATGCAATCTGTCTTGTTAGATTGCAAAGAGTCACAAGGTCAACACACAAGTGTAAATTTGGCTCGTACCCTGAAAGAAATTATTACAGATTGGAATCTACAATCCAAGATTATCCTAGCTGTGTCAGATAATGCTCCAAACATAAAAGGTGCCATTTCTAAGGAGCTCAGCTGGAAACATTTTGGATGTTTTGCCCACTCATTAAATTTAGTAGTTTCCAATGCCTTGGCCGTAAATGACAATATAATGGAATTGATAAATAAAATAAAAGTTGTTGTAGTACATTTCAAGCACAGTGCGTTATCAACTGAAAAGTTGATGACTCAACAAAAAAATTCTGGAAAGGAACCACTTAAATTGCTGCAGGATATTAAAACTAGATGGAATTCGACATATTATATGTTGAAGAGATTTGTTGACCTAAAAGATGACCTGAAAAGTACCATAGCAGTGCTGGACAAGGACCTGCCAGTGCTAAGGCAAGAAGAGTGGGAGATATGTGACCAGTTATGTCGAATACTAAAGCCTTTTGAAGGTGCCACTAAGACAATTAGTGGCGAGAAATATGCAACTGCTTCTTTGGTTATACCTTTAGTTAATGGTTTAAAATCAGTTTGTCTAAAATTGACTAAAAAGGACTTTCATCCAGATGTAATCCAAGTGGTTTTAAAATTAAATTCTGTTCTGTTCGATAGATTTGAATCTGTGGAACGTAGTAACACCCTTACTGCTTGCACATTTTTAGATCCCAGATTTAAAATGCTTGTATTTGATAATGAACAACTAAGCAGTAATGTCAAAAAAAATATTATTGGCATTGTTACAGCAAAATTTTTGGAAAAACAAACTAGAAATAGAGGCGAGGAAACTGTAAATAATAACCAACGTAGTGATAGTGAGTCAGAAGATGAATTATCCGTTTGGGGATCCTTTAAAAAAACTGTCTCTTCAAGTACTAAGCCCAAAGCAACGGCTTCCTCTCAAGCGATAATTGAGGTCCAGCGATATTTAGAAGAAGATTTACTACCCCGTAATGAAGATCCTTGTAAGTGGTGGAGAGATTTTAACCACTACTACCCAGTTTTAAGCGAGGTGGTCCGTGAAAAATTTTGTGCTCTAGCTACCTCAGTGCCGTGCGAGAGGTTATTTTCGAAGGCAGGCTTGATCATCAGCGAAAGACGGAGTCGATTGAAAGCACATAAAGCTCGAATGTTGGTTTTTTTAAACGCTAATGCGAACTTCGTAAAAAATTACGTTAGCAGAGATTAAGATTATAAGAAAATCATTATTGTCATGTATTATATTTGTTATGTTTTAAAACTTCTATTTCAACTCGCAGAATAATCTCATGTGTTGTTTTACTTTTTCTGAACTGTACAAAAATACTTAATTTACTTATTTAGCAATGATTATAATCACGATTTTATATTTTATTTTATTTGTTATGTTTCAATGCTTTTATTTTGACGGGCAGAATAATCTTATGTTTCGTATAATTTTTCCTGTTTCATAGAAAAATGTTTCGTTTATTAAGCAATGTTTAACATATAAAAGAAGCATTTTTATACTACATTTGTTATGTTTTAAAAGTTTTATTTTGACTGGTAAAATAGTATTTTGTTTCACTTTTTAAGATTCATATAAAGATATTTTATGTATTTTTATGATTTTATGTGTTTTCGTTTTGTGCTCAATATTGTTAAAAACAAAAACCTTAAATATAGTTTAATTCAAATCTTCAGGAACCTGAACATCTGCACCTCGTTAATATCAATGGATAACCGCCGCCAAATATCGAGTAATTTAATCAACGCCAGGGAGTCGCTGGCTGCTGGCAGCGACCATAGACAAGCAGCGACCTAAAGCGCTGCTAAATCTACCGGCGACTTTAAGGTCGCTGTCACCGATATCCCGGCGACTTGCAAGTCGCTGCTAAGATCATCTCTACTGACACAGGTTATGTCCAAAGTCAGTCAGCTTGCTCAAATAATGTACTATGCATGATCCAATATGCTCATGACACTGGTGTACTGGTGTCTGGACAACATTTCATTTATGTAGCTGGAGGTACTTACTTCTATGAGGAAGTGTTTTTTTGGTTTGCTTGTAATGGATTATCCCTGAATACCTCAAAAACAAATGCAATTGTTTTTAAGCTAAGAAAAAAAATCTAAGCTTCAAACATCCCTTTAGCAGAAAGAGTAGAAGTCCCACTGACAAACTGGGAAATTCTTGGGATTTTATATAGATCAAGCACTTTCCTGGGCTAAACATATAGAACATCTAGAAAAAAGGTTATACAATGTGTTCTATAGCATTAGAGCACTAAGTAAATATGAGTACTAAGTAAGTAAATACCTAGACCTTGAGATATTAAAAATGGTACAAATGGTTACAAATTTTGAGTCCATTGCACATTTAGGCATAATTTTCTTTGGGCATAGTAGCCATACCAATAGGGTCTTTCTAGTGCAGAAGCAAGTGCTGAGGTGCATCCTAAAAATTTCCTCTAGAGAGACTTGAAACATATATTCAAGAAATAGTAATTTTTACATTTAAAAACCTTGACAACTCTATTCTCTATTGGTAACCTACTAAGTGATTATAACACAAAAAGCAGAAATATAAATCTTCTGTATCCAGTCCATCATCTAACTGTTACAGAAAAAAATGTTCATCACAGCTGCACTAAAATATAAATAAAATAAATAATTAAATATCTTTATCGCCATTCGACTTAAAAAAGTATCAGCAAATTGTCAAGGATGAATGAGAAAAAAGTACTTTAAAAGTTGTGGTCCAGTTAAAACTACACCAAATAACAACATAAACAAACAAATTAAAAAGATGGGAGTAAATAACAAATAAACAAAAAAATCCGGACGAACAGATTAAAAAATAAATTGTTTACATTAATACAATTCACAAGTCAGATGTTAAGTATTCTTCTATGCTGTAAAAAGGGATTTCCATAAATAGACTTAACTCGGCGTAGGAAAGCAATGAAATTGGTGACAGTTCTGATAACAATTGGCAACTTGTTTAACAATCTGATAGGCATTATGAGGGAACCCTTTGCTGATAAAGCAAGGCTATGTTGAGGGGTATCCAGACAGTATGTATTCCTTAGATTGTAACCACTCTCCACATTGCTTCGCGATTCATATTTTTCGAACACGACATACACAATTAAAAATATAAAGTGAGCATATTGT